CAGAAGAGAGTGCTACCAGGCTGGCACAAATTGAGCAATGGTTTCGGCAGTTGGAGGTGCAGAGCTTCCAGTTGTGCAGCAGCTGCTTATATATTCAGATATTAATCAAGATGGATACAAGACATTGGATATTTTAGTGGATGTTCACAAACTGACTCCAGGTAATAGCTTCCAGGAACTTTTGTCCCAAGCCATTATTCAACAGGCACCTGCCTTCAGCAAGATAAGAGCACCTACAGAAACAGCTCCTGACACGCCAGCCAACTGAACATTCTAGAGATACAAGTACAGAGGTACAGGTTTACTCAGGAGTAATCTGGATCCTCATCCGACAAAAAGACATGCCCACCTTGAAGCTGACTTGATCTCCAGCGTACTGACGACCAGGTCAGTGTAGGTTGGAGCTTCATAAGACACAAGGTCAAAAATATTATGGAAATGAATGAACATATGTAGGTGGGTTTCTCCGGGGTCTTACACATTCTAAGATCTCATACAAAGCCACAACCTATCCCACACCCTTCACACAAGCAATGGAATCCAACCCATTCCATCCTGTTCAAATGCAAGCCTCTAATGCATCCGATATATGTAACTTCCAAAGTACCAACTAAAGAGCCACTGAAATTAATGAGATTCCTTGTTCGTTCTCAGCCTCATTGGAGTCAAACTTCTTGTGGATCCAGAACTGCACTGGAACACACTGATGGTGTGTATGCACTCTTTCAATTGTCTCAATTCTAAAGAGAAAAGCTCTAGAAAGTCCATTCTTTCTTGATGGCTATATTCACTCATCCTTAGTAACATCCTTGTAAATCTACTCTTGATACAAATGTAATTTTGTTGTTTTTGTCATGCCCTCTGCAGGCAAGTGGCCTCACTTAGACTCACCTCCAAGGCTCACAGAAGAACAATGGTCAGTTGGGTGGAGTATTGACAAACAACTAGCACCCGTGAGGTGCAGAAGCATACACCAACAGGGAGAAAATTAAAAAATTATTGGACTCAATGAATTTCCATAATATAATTGCAGTTGAAAACTTTAAGTTGCCTTTTTAAATTCGACAGAGTTCCTTGATGGCTCAGTGAGGAAATGCATGATTTGGTGGGCACCATGACAGCAAACATACACTGAGCAGACACACCAGTGAACAATGGTCAGCTTTGAGAGGAAGAGGAGCAAAATCAAGGGAAGGGAGCACCACAATAAGATGTTAAGTATCCCTCATTACCCAATACAAGCAAATGGAAGAATGATATGCAATGCTAAATGGGGAGGGAGAAAAACAGGAGATCTGGCTAAGCTTATGACTTGTATAAATTTAATTATCCTTCTGTTTTATTGCACAAGCTACACGACTACAAAGACCAGGTTTGGCAACTTTTTCGGGTTAAGGATCTAAGTTCTCAGAATCAAGACAAGTTTGAATAGCCAAATGATTTTCAGAAAGTTGGATTTCAAAGCCAGGCAGATATCTTTGCCAAAGAGGGGCATCAAACCAAATTAAAATCCTGTGGACTGACTTGTACTTTTTGTATTTGTTATATTCCTGCATGCAATATGTTTAATTATGTGATATACCATATTAAGGAGTGTTGCCATGATTATAACAATATTGTCTGATAAATATGGATCGTACTTTATTGTCCACACAAAAATGTGTGGAAATCAAAAATGTGATTCAACAACTTATTTTCCTTATGACAAATTCAGGAGACATTTCAGGGGAGAATGGTTTCCAGAAACCAAAATCTGGGCTGTTGTGTCAGGGAAAAAAAACTCTTTAAAACAAAGTATCTCAGAAATTTCAATCGTACCCACATTTTACGAGCATTCAAAGTCTCACCATTACCTATAGAGAAACCAAACGCCACTTGTTAAGAATATCATTTATTACTCAATTTACTTGAATATCCATGACAAAATAAAACAAACTTTACTTTGAATTTATACAATGTACATGCATTAACAAATGATACAATTTTACCATTTTTGATTTTATGTATCAGATTTTGTATCAGAACACGTTTTTAACTGCATCTCACGAAACTCACTTGTCTGTAACTAAGTGTGTATTTTGTGTTCTTGTGGTGTCTGAGCTGCGCACTGAGCTCTTTCAGCAGTTCTCTTTTATTTAGAAGCAATTAGTGAATGAGGTGTACTCAAATAATGAAGCAGCAAACTCGATCTGAATTTTTTAATTTAAAATTGTTTTTGACAGCTTCCCCCAGTAACATGGTGGTAAAATGCATTTTCTAGTGTGGCCGTAAACCAAAAGGTCCATGAAGGTCCCAGATTCAATCCCTAGTCTATGCAGTTAGCTATTCTCAGACACAGCAGCAGCAGCTGTAGAGCCAGTGCAATTTGGCTTGTGAGCCTTGGCCAGGGACTGGGGAAGAGATGAAAGCTGCCATCCTTATCACTATGTGACTATTGCTAAAATGTTTGAACAGGATTATGCTTGGCTTCAATCCCCCTCCACGGATGATCAAACACCATCTAGGCTTGCACATGAAGAATGATGGCTTGGGTAAGGTAGTATATGACCTCAGCAACCATACCCTAAGCATGAGTCTCTTTGACACAGGGAAATTGTACAACTACAAATCTGTATCGGTTATAATATTATACAATAACTTTGTTCATTAAAATGTACCATAGAGGTTAAAATAGCTATACAACAAACTAATTTTAATTTTCTTCTGAAGATTTCACCATATCAGTGTTAGGATAAGGGTTTGTATATTTCACCAATGTCTTAATTTCATAAAGTGTTAACGGAAACACATTGTATTGCTGAAAATATTACAGCTTTATCTCGTCCAAAAAAACAAAATAAAAAATTTCCAACATGTAGACTGGAGAAAAACAGAGGTCTGAACTTTCACTCTCCTTTTAATAATAATCCTTGCATTTGATATAGCGCTTTCCACATCTTCTAGACGTCTCAAAGCGCTTCACTGAATAGACTGTAAAGTGAATTGACTGTATATTTGTGGGCGAAATGCGACAGCCAATTACGCACAGCAGTGTCCCACAAAGTCATGAATTGAAGTGACCAATTTATTACTTTTTTTTCTTGAGGGATTATCAGGTGTGTGGAGTAAGGAAACTTGCCCAACGTTTCGACCTGCCGGGAATTGAACCCAGGTTTCTCGCTTGTGAGGCCAGTGCTCCAGCCACTGAGCTTTTAAAGGGAGCAGGGCCCATTTTTATTTATTTTTAAAGTTGCAGCAGTTTCTGCTCAAAGTTGTACCATTTACACAATCAAAATGCAAGTGAAGATTAGTGCCATCCATATATCAGCAAATTCAAGATTTGTTATTCAGATATTTGACAGTGATCATTAATTTTTGATTGGCTACAGTATATATTTTTTAAATTGGTTGTCCCCAAATACAACAATCCTACACACTTCCCATCTAATGTATAATTTATACAAGGGCATTATTTGCTTATATGATTGGTAGAGATGTACATGCAAAGACTGCACTTCTAAAGGTCCGAAAAAATTAAAAATCTGTTACAACAAATGAATGTAATGAAAAAAATGGAGTTTTTTTCCTCAGAAGCTTGAGTGTTTAGTTCTGAATCTGCACACTGCATCAAGGTCTAAATCCTCAATCCTACGCAGTCAGGTTTAAATTCAATTATCAAAAGATAGCTCTCTTGAATTCCCAATATTATGCTTCTGTGAGACGTCAAATGAGTTTTGAGTGGAAATAAAATGCGCTGCTCAGTACATCCAAACATGATCCATGTCCTGTAACTGAGAAACCAGACCTGAATGGTATAACAAATGGTATGGGGAATCACATTGGATTGCTGGAGGGATGCAGCTGTGAAAAGCGGGAACAAAATGGATGTGATGATGTCCCCAGTTTCATAGTGCGGATATTCATGTCTGGGTTTACAAATGAAGAACTGCCACTTAAATGGGGTAATGGAGGGAAGTCTGTGCCTTCAGGAGTCTACTGGAGGGGCAAATATTTAGGAATACATTCATAGTTTAACAGTTGTCACAAATCTCCTATTTGCCATCTGAGAGCACTCTACGCAGAGCCTGGAACAGTGCAGATCTTGTAAGGCACAGAAGGTGTAAGGGCTAATGAGACCTGCATGGAACAAAAATCACGTGGGAAATAAAATGGGAAATTTAATCACTCAAAAAATGTCATAAGTTGTTTGAATCCTAAACCTGTACACTTTCCATTGCCAAATTAAGATGTTACACATTATACTTTTTTGGCTGATATTTTCCTGATATAGTTATATTCAATTACATTAGGCTATCTCTGAATGATAAACACTTGCCCAGCCCACTAAACTATAAGAGAATCCAACCAATTTTCAACAAAAAATGATCAAGTGATTGGAGAAGTTACACATCATAAGCATTTACTAGCATAATATTACTATGTTTGCATTCAAATTCATTTAGGGATAAAAGTGTTTTTCAACGAAATAGTCAGTGACTCACTCCAGCTTTTCCAAATCATTAAGGAATCTTGGGTACCTTGAAATTGCAATTCTGCTCATCAGCAATAAAGCAACACTTGCCTATTCGAATCAGACTGATCCAATGGAAGGAAGATGCAACATTCCATAACAGTGACAAATGTCTGTTGCTCATTCTGCAACATGACAGGATGACCTGAAGTGAAGACTTTGTTAGTACAATTACATGGCATGCGGTTACTTGTTGATAACAGCAAGAAAACGGAAGGTCAAATTTCTTTAGAAGAGAGAACCACTTGAATATACAAACACAGCAATTTAATTCCTCAGACTTCTTTATATTCAATTTATATTCAGGATGCAGTATATTGGTGATGATGAAAAATTAAGAAGCAACTTGAGGTGCACTGAAACACACACTGTGCATGAGCCAATGGGATTTCTCACATTAACACATTTCTAGGTGAAGACAAAAATGTTTGTGTTACATTCAGATTTAAAAACTGCATTTGCAAAAAAGGAAAAATACTTTTACACAGTGCAAGAATAGCCAAACATAAAACAGTTTTATTCTCCACTATTTCAGCTGCATTTGGCTACTGGTAATACATGTGTCACACCAAACAGTTAAAAAGGAAAATAAGTTTTTTTTTTAAGAAGTTTCAAACACGGTTGGAAATAATGGTAAATACTTTGTTGGGATAGCCAACCTGGTCAAACACCTGTGACTGTCAACATGATGCAGGGATGAAGTCTGGTAGACTTACATCAAATAAGTTAACAAGTTAAAAATCGTTGCATGCAAACTTCCTGATTTAAAAAAAAGTCAGCTCTCTTTAGTAGCAGAGTCATTTTTTACTAGATGTTAATGATGGACATCTAATTTGTTTAAATATTTAACCACACTATATATATATATATATATTTTAAGTTTGGTGTTTGAATGTTGCTAAACAGAAGTCAGACCAGATTTTCATGTGACAATCGTTCTTGTGGACCAGTGTATGTCATAGTTTCTAAAATGATTGATTACTGTGGCAGTGAAATACATTGGAAGACTAATGTGCAGTGGAGGGCTCCCACATCAGTCAGTTCCCAAGCTGCATCAAAGTGGAAAAAGCCCTTCCCAAAAGAAATGGGAGCAGGGAAAATTAACAGGAGTGTCACTGCAAGACTAATCTTCTGCGCAACTCATTACTGCTGGCTAAGATCATAAGGGCAGAGGCCTGGAAACCCATGACAGTTAGTCCATTGTAGGGGCAAACGTTTATTCAAAACCCCCTGCACTATTTAAATCAAAATTTCATTGGGGGGGTGAGGGGGTGGCAGGGAGGCAGGAAAAGAATGTATTACAGCTTCTGTGTTAATATTTAGGGTATATATTTGGCAAAAAACAATGAGCATTGCCGAAAACAAAAGCTGTCCATCTTGACAAGTCTGAAAAACAAATCCCAAAATAAAACTGCAGCATTCAGACGGAACAATTAAGGCTTTAGGGGGACCGATGCTATATCATCAATGCACATGTGAAACACTGAAGGAACTCAATCTGACGAAATTCCCTTTAATGGAAGTGCAAACTGGTAGACATTCCTGACGTTCCTGGTGAAGAACTGTTCATGTGACAGATCAGGATAACCTCCATGTATGAGGTGTACAGATCCATTCATTTGATGGTCTATAAAGGATGCTGATATAATGGTCTACTTCACTGAAACCTACAGGTACCTCAGGTAGCATGTAGGCTTTATTTTATCAAGCAGTGCCATGTTTACCTGTTAGATGCAAAATGTACAGTGTAAACACATTTGATCTGTCTTATAACAGCGTTTAATTTTTTTGTATTTTAAATTACATTTAAAATATATCAACTGCACATGAGAAAAACGTGCCACCCAAACACTCCCCCATTACAGGTAATGTTGTGATGACATGAGTTGGGATATCTATAGGCATCGACACTTGCAATGTGGCACCGGTTAGACTGTAAACAGTAGAAAAAGGGCTACCAGGTGACTGCCTGAAGAACCTGGTGGAGGCACAGCTCTGCTTCATCTCACAGGAACACATCAAACAGTGACACAGCAGGTCTTTGCACCCATACCCGGACAAAGCCAAGCACAGCAGCAGCTTGCATCATGCTACATAATTGTACTCGTCTGCTGAGGTCTGGCTACGCTCAATATACTGTTTGTCAATGAGGACTTCAATGCACTTCTTGATCATGCTGATACTTGGGTTGAATCTGGCCCTTGATTGGCTAATTACCTGTAAGAGAGGTTAACACACATTAGCAAATATTCAATACCAGCAATGTTTGAGAAACCACCTTTGAGGAAATGTACAATATCTGCAAATGCCTTTATGATAAAAACAGCATTAGTGGTAGCACTAGGTGCCACAGCAAGAGTTTTTTATTAGCCACTTTGTTGCACTCCTGAACACACTGATTCTTCCTGGGACACCACTCAATCTGCAGCAGTTTGTTTAAGTTGCCATTCTTTATATGGCTTCACACACAGTGCTAAGTGGCAAGATTATTCTGATCACTAGGGATTAGTTGGGTAAATGAAGGAAACGCACAAAGCAAAGATTAGATGCCTCTCATAAGAAGATGAGGAAAATTGCCAATTCAATTGAAGGTGATAAAAATAATAAGTAATAATAATCCTTGCATTTGATATAGCGCCATACCACGTCATTGAGATGTTGCAAAGCGCTTCAATGGATTCACTGGAAAGTGGATTGACTATGTACTTTGGAGGCACAATACCGCGCAATACGGCAGCCGATTGCACACAGCAAAGTCCCACAACCAGCCATGACGAATTTTATTTGAGGATTTTTGGCTTGGACTTCAGGAGATTTTAGTCAGCCTTCTTGTCACTGGTTACAATGCCACATAAAGATTTGAGCAAGCCATCTGCACAACCTGGAGAGTGATGTGTGGTATAGAAAACCAAAATGTCAGACATTGTATTTGATATAGTGCCCTATCATGTTGAGATGTCTTTAAGACAACTCAAAATTGTTCATAGAATTTTATTATGAAGGGTAGTAACTATGTACTGCAATATCCCACAAACAGCTAGATTTTATCTGGCAGAATGTTGGCCAAGACACCAGGAGTAACCAGCATTCCTGCACCCTTTACTGTGTGGTAATCGAGTGGGAAAGATCAGGCTTGGTTGTTTTGCCCTTTCCAGTTGAGTGACCTAGTGACACTGACTGCCAAGGCTCACAAATGAAAATAGCTACTTGGGCAGGAAACCGCAGGATATCCAGGACCTGTGCAATCACACCCCAGCAAAAAGAGGCAGGACCGGAGCAGAGAGACATATCCCAGTGGGAAGAAAATTAGAAAAGGATTGATTTATATGTATAGACACATATATACATACACATAGACCCACCCACACATACCTAGATATACATACACAAATACATATGCAAACTTATAGAAACCATTACCTCTTGAATAAGTGCATTGTGTCGGAGCACTTTACGTGCTTTCATGATGCGGACTATAGCAGCCTGCAGATACATTTTTCTGTCTTCATCCACTGCACTTCTGGTTTGTTCCATCTCCTAGAGCAATGGGGAAATAACATGAGGCTTTTTTTAAAAAATAGAGATGTAATGTGACCTATTAGACTTAGCCATCAGAACAAAGTGCAAAACTGTTTACCGCTGATTTTAGTGAATAAGTGAAGAAAATCTTGTGATATAAGTTGGGGGAAAGTGAAAAAGACAAGGTTTGGAAAATTTCTCTGGTCTTCTGAAGGTGATGAGTGATGACTCTCACTGCAATACAGATCTAAAAGTTCCAGGGGCACGCCTATTACAGTAAAACTTGCATTTTATAAATTGTATAATTGCCTAAGTCATACATTCATCTGAGTCCCATTCAGTTTCCTATCAAGATCACAATGATTTCTTTACACTACTCGTATTAATCAGTTCCTAACTCGTAATGCCTCTCCCCTGCCCTCCATTACTCCCGCATTCAATCGCGGGAAATGACGTCCTGACCCATTGACGCGTGTGGATTTACCAGCCGCATTAAACTATGGGAAATGTAGCCTTGAACCATCGCCACATGCACAGCAGAACTTAATTTCTCATGATTCAATGCGATTCCAACATTGAATCGTGGGAAATGCAAGTCTTGACCTGTCACCACATGTGCACTTTCTGGCTGCAGTGTAAGAGATTGGATGGAGACAACCAAATTGGTGGTGTATTGATAAATGAGTTTATTAGGCAATAAGTAAAATGTTAACCTTACACAACGATTAAGCAGTAGTTACAGAGAACAACAATATTACCCGGTTCCTCTGGGAAACACCCCAATCCGCTCTCCCAGCTTTCCAGGCTTCAGCTTGTTCCCCAATCCACGTGTTTACATACCCTACTTGGTGCACAATCTTACACTCTTATGCAAAATACAACTCCATATAAGGTTATAAGATTCTTTGAGATTCTAGCAACCTTGTTTTAGTCATCTGGTCAGCCGACCATTGTATTCCCATAATACGTACTTGTTTTTCACTCACTTTGACCTTGAACAAGTATTCCTGAGATTCTGACATTTCTTGTTAACTCTTACACTGCAGTCACTAATCCTTCTGTTTGTAATACTTGATATAATTTTACAGACTCCACCTTGAGAGCGAGAAAATATCTTTTTTGATCTCTCATCTTAATAATTCCTTTATCTCAAGATGATCACCCTTTTTTCTAGTTACTCACTACCCACTTCAACCAAGACAAACTACTGCATGCGTACTTTCCGGCTGCACTGAATTACGCTTGCACGGTGTAGATTATTGATTAAATTCGATTTTATACGACTTATTCTGTTTGTCTGCAATGCGGACTTTGCGTAAGTCAAATCAAATGTTACACTCCCGACTAAATATAAGAACGTAAGAATTTGCTAGATGAAAGAAGACTACGATCCATCCAGCTTGCCTTCCACCATCTTGGCTGTCACATGCACAAGTCATGTCCCAAACCATACACTGAATCCCGAGATAATAAGAATATAGGTTACAACTTGTGAGTTTCACTGTATTGGCACAGGAGCTTAGACAGTACTTTCAAGCTATTTGACCATGGAAAGTGACAAAGTCAAACCCATTCAGAGCAGAGTGCCTGTACTGGCTCTCTATTCATTTAGTCTCATTCTCCTGCTTTTTCTACTTTTCAGATATTTACTTGATCTACACTTAAAAGCTGATGTAGATTGTATAAACTATCATTCAAGGGAGGACATTATATGTCCTAACAACCCTCTGTAAAAAAAAATCTTTCTCCTAATCCCTTACTTTGCTTTTTTGCTAACCATCTTATTTCTGTGTCGTCTATTCATCAATTCACCAAACTGTGGAAATTATCACCAGTTTGCGTTATTAAAAAGCTTAAATAATAAAAATCTATCAGATTCTCTCTCAATCTTCTCTGTTCCAGGGAAAATAGCCCCAATTCCTCCTTAAGACCTCTCAACCCTGTTATTCTCGCAAATCTCCTCTGTGCGCTCCCTATAATAATCGTTGCATTTGATATCGCGCCTTACCACATATTTGAGGCATCTCAAAATCTGCCAATCGACCAACAACCGGGTTCCTACTTACTGCAATGTGTGAGGTAAAGAAATTTGCCCAACATTTCGCCCTGCTGGATATTGAACCCAAGTCTCTCGCTTGCGAGGCGAGTGCCCTAAACACTCAGCTGCAGGACTCCACAATGCCATTGACTCACTTTTCTATCATAAAGTACTGAAAACTAGACAGTACTCCAACTGTGGCTGAACTAATGATTTCTGCAGGTTTAACATTGCACCTTTGCCTTATAATGGACAGGATGCTCCATTAGAACACACCCCTGTCGAGCATGGTTAGCTGGGTTTACTGTGGGCCCAGAGGTTATGCTGAGGTATACCCAGCTTCCAGTGCTGACTTCCCACATGAAAAAATGGCCAGCTTCCAGGTTTCAACCACATCACTTCCTGTGGGTGCCTGAAAATACTTGATATCACTTCCTGTACATTGCACATGTTTATAGCACACAGGACCTTATGTCAGTATCAAAGTAACAATCCAGTAGTTGGCTATTTGTTTGCATTTTGTTCCAACACAGCATCTGAGATACTGGACCCAGAGAACTGGATTATAATGCAGTTCTGTTTGTTCATATATCCAAAACCCAGGAATCCATTAGCTTTTTATTTATAGCTTTGTGGACTTGCTCTCCCACCTGAGTACAGTTCAGGAATCCCTTGCAATCTCGAGTCTGTTAGTAATATATTGTTCAATGCCACATAGAGTGTTTTTAACTGCAGTCTCTGGATTCAGCCAAGTTTAGTTACTGAAACAAATCTCAGGAGACAAAGGAAAGGCTATTTAACTCATCAGATTCACTTTATATTTTCTGTGAGCTACATGTTCATAACAATTTCAGAGAACAGGGTGTTTTCTCAAACTGCATTTCAGAAACCATTGTAGCTCCAAGTTTACCTCTCCTGAATTCTGAAAGTTGCTGATTAACAATTCTGGGAGGGCATTGATCTGAAAATGAAACTTCTCTGCCTTTTAGAGATTTACAGTTGATCAGAGTCACAAATTATTTTCCATTTTCAATTCATCTGTTTATACAAACCAAGAAAAAAATCAAGATTGTGGACCTCAATTCAAAGAACATCTGAACCGCAGCAGTCACTGTCATTTTAATATCCTCAATGATCAGATTTCAGAATTTAACATTAATATTCTTAACAAGTGCCTTTTCAGCTTATGGTCACTAAAAATCAGGAAAACCACAACAGTCTTTTCCTCCCCCATTTTAAAGTTTAAAAATAGACATGATTTTGAATGTGAAGGCCATAAAAGATTTTAAAATAAAATAAACCAGAAAAATAAAGTTTTATAAAGGCATTGAAAAAAATCTTACCTGTGGAGTATCTTTCTGCATGGAGGTGGTAATTTTAAATTTTGTTCTTTTACTGCTGAAATTCATATTTAAAGAGAAAACTGAATCCACATCAACATCCTCCTGCATTAAGAAAAAAGACAGCCAGCTGTAGCAATTTTCAAAAGTAGTGTTTGACAAACAGGTCTGATGAAAGGTGTGACACATGCGGAAACCCAACACCAGGCTTAAGAGTATCCAAACCAAACTGAGAATTGCATGCATCTCACCTACACTTGGAAATTCCAGACATAAATTGTTGGAATGGAATGCACTCTCTCATCCTAAATTATTAGGTACAGGTTGGTAAGAGTTTGCCAAGGATGACAGTCACTAGTTGGTCGTTCCATATCCGACAAGTACGGGTTTCAGCTTTCGCTAGGTGGATAGAAATCAGGAACCTCCTGATTCTGATTCTCCTGGTGGGCAACACAGCTCATCATGAAATGCACGAGCATTGCTACCATCTTCCTGTCCGCAGCTTGGGCACAGGTCCCTTCCCATTGAGCAATGGTTTCATTAGTTGGAGTTGCAGAGTTTAAGCAGCAGCTGCTTACCTCTCCGCAGGCCAATCAAAGTGGATTCCAGGTGATGGATGAACAAGCTTGTGTTCATGATAACACCTTCCAAGCATCAGAGTTTTCTCATCAGCTATCGGGCGGACATCTATGTGGTGAACCTTTTCAGGACAGCTTGGGACGTGCTAGCCACATTAATGTTCTTGAGGTCCAAGTCCAATGCCAGGCTTACTTGGCACCAGCTGCTTAATCCAAGTCCTCATGTGAGGGGCCTTGGCAAATAGATGTGCCTGCTGTGAAGTCAACTCCGCCTTCAGGATGCTTAGCGGCACGTCAGTATAGGCCGGAGCCCTCCCTCCCTGTAGCCACTTACCATGTTTGCCACAAATCCACCTCACTGCTTGATCCTGCACTTTGCAAATGGGTCAGAGGAAGCATCTCCACTGCATCCCCATCTGAGCCTTTGTTTATGTTGAAGGTTTGACAGTAAATCATTGATATTCATGCAGTATATAAACATTAAAAAGTAACAGCTGTTGCTCAAATTCTCAGTTTGATAAGGTTTAGCATGGCAAATTGTGTTCTGGATGAGGATCTAGCTTGAGCAGTAGAAACACACAAGGTATTGATTCAGTCATAATTTTGTAGAGAATCAAAGACTGGTGAGAGAAGGATTGAGGGAGAAAATAATGCCCGACACAAAATAAGATGATTTGTGATAATTTTGACCAATTTTGGGACTACTTAAACTCATCATGAGATCAAAAACACTTGATAATACCAGGAGTTATAGTACTTCTCTTGTAAAAGATAATAAGAATAATCTTTGACTTAATTATTATTTGTGAAGCACTTTGAAATGTTGCTAAGCATCCTGAAGGCGTGATATACAATATAATTTAATGTATGTAGTGCCTTTCACATCAGGAGGATGTCCCAAAGCGCATTTACATTGCTGGATGGGCACCCAAGCTAAGGGTGGGAGTTGAGGGGTGTGGGGAGGGGAAAGGTGGCCAAAACCGCAGTCAAAGAGATAAATATATTTTTTGAAACAGACAACAACTGCATGCAGCACTACAGATGTTGTCTCACCAAAACCAGATACTGTGGAGCTGCATTATAATGTAGAAGCCATAAAACCTCAACCCTATATTTTTGGTATGATAATTTGTTTCACGGTGTAGGAAGTGAATCGGCTGGTTCCTACACGAAAACAAAATGCCGGATATCTAGGTCACCAGATAGATGCCAGTGTCACATCCATGAGAAAGTACTGTCGACACAAACCCTATGACATTATGTTGGTTCTTTAACCCAATGACTAATGAACACAAAGAATACAATCTATTACATTTTTGAGCTATTCTTTGAAATCATTCTTTGCATTTTATCAACATACTTGCCTTGTTTGAGTTGTGGTTGATCATTTTTACATCAAGCAAAGATTTGATGGTTTTGGTAAGTTCTTTTTCATTCATCTGTGTGCTATCCTGGAGCTCCTTGTAACTGACTGTTTCACTGTTGTTAAATGCTAGCAGCACAGCCATTTGGTACGTGGTAACCATAGCCACGTAAGGCTTGGATAAATAGTTCATTTTTACTTCACCTTTCCCCCAAAAAAGAAAACAGAAAAATAATTATCACTGATAGATATGCAAACATTGCAATGCACAGTTTACACATTCTGACAAACAGCTACTTCAAACTGATTCTAATGACATACAATTATTCAGAAGTAAATGCCACAAAACCACCATTAAAAAGAAAAATATCTGTGATCAAACAAAATTATGTATTAATACAAGCACTTTCTAATCCTCTGCTCTTTCACCATACCTTTTAGTATATTTTTTATTTAGATATTTATCCAATTTCCTTATACATGCCATGTATGGACTTGGCTTCAATAGACATTTGTTGTAAAGTATTCCATATTCTAACAACCTTCTGCTACAATTTATGCTCTTGTTGACTTGTTGATCAGTTGATCAGTGGACGTAATTTTATTGCATTTACCCTTTCAAATCCATTCAGAATTATGAAAACCTTCAATTAGATCACCCCTTAATCTTCCCTGTTCTATCAAACACCTTCCCGACTTTTCAAGTTGCTCCCCATAACTGTAACCTTGCATCCCTGGTATCAGTCAACGAATCTCCACTCATTGACTGACTGTGATGTCTGATGTAAGATTTAAATGTTAAGACTCTTGACTGCAGCCCAACTCACTCTTGTATTTAAATCCCTTCATGCCCTGGCACCCACCTATCTCTCCAACCTGCTTGTTCCCTACACCACTACCTGCTGCCTCTGCTCGGCTGGCTCCAGCCTCCTCCTTGCTCGCGGACCCTCTGCCCCACCATCGGCGGCCGTGTTTTCAGCCACTACACTCCGAAGCTGTGGCACACTCTCCCGCAATCCCTTCGCCTTGCCCTCTCTCCCCATTTTGAGGTTGTGCTTGAAGATCTTCCTTTTCGACTGTGTCCACGGTCACCTTCCCCTTCCCCCTGGCTCAGCATTGGGCTCTGCCACTGTTAAACGATCCAAGACACCATCTGGCATGAAGGGCGCTATATAATTGCAAGTTGTTGTTGTACAAATTTGACATTGCCATCTAAAAATGGCAAATTCTATCTTTATTAAGACACCTGATTGGGCATTACTATGTCAATTCTCTGTTCGCTGGACTTCCCAACTGATCCCTCAACAATCTGCAGATTATTCAGAACTCTGCAGCCCTTGTCCTCTCCCAAATCAAGCTCTGTCCGCCTAGCACCCCCTTCTTTGCCTGGCCTCCCATCTCCCAGAGGATCAAGTTCAAGATCCTTATCCTCACTTTTAGAGTACTCCACGGTCTTGCCCCACCTACCTCTGGGACCTACTAAAACCTTACCAACCCGCCTGTTCCCGCTACTCGGCAGGCAAACTCCTGTTCCATGTCCCCCTCCTTACTTGCCCCACCATCAGAGGTCGGGCCTGCAGCCTTTCTGCCTCCACCCTCTGGAACTCCATTCAAGAGTCCCTTCGCCTTGCCCCTTCCCTTGGCTCCTTCAATGTCCATCTCAAGACCTTCCTCTTTGACCATGCCTTCGGTCATCTTCTCACCCCGAAATCCTTTGACTCACCCATCCCTCTAGAATCCAACCCCATCTAAGGTGCAAACTCTCAACTGTCCAGAGCCTTGGGAAGTCCTCCTGACGTGAAAGATGCTAAATAAATGCAATTTTGTTTTTTACCCGAAGTATATCATGCCAACCCATGGGAACTCTGCTCTGAAAGTGGATCACATCATAGCAAAGTTTCCATAACTCCTTAATTAAGAAATCCCAGCTACCAATTGTTATTTCTTATACCCCATTAGCTCCTTGTTCTTGTATTCAATCCTGCTATATATAAAATCCAGACCTGAATTGGCTTTTTGTAGTCTTATCTACTTATAGTAAGACCTAATTGCCTGTCCTCCAAGTCTCTCTCCTCTGCTATAGCACTCTGATTGTTAACATTTATTTTATTTATACTTCCCATTTTTCTAAACTGAATTCTATCTTACCACTCCACTAACCTGTCTATGTCCTCCTATAGCCTTCTGCATTCTTCCTTCATATGCAGTGCCCCTTAGTTTGATATTGTCAGCAAATTTAGATTATGCCTCAATCAAAAATATTTGTATTTGTGTGTGGAAACTTAGGGAGGTCCCATTAGTTTCCCCATTGAGGCAGCAACACCTCTTTAACTCTTCCTGTGCCAGATACTCAAATTTAAAAAGCACAGAATGCACTCTCTGAGAACTATCACAATAAACCAGAGGATAGAATAATTCTAGGATATCTATTCCACAAAGAACAAGTTTAAGCAACTTTACAGTAGAACGCTGACTATACTCACACCATTTATTCACATGTCTGCTTATCAGCAATGGAAGCTATGGTGGACTGGGTTACCACCAAAAACTCCTATTCAGTACATGTGCAAGTTGTGAGTATTTGTAAATTATGCGCATGTGTGTAATTTAAGGACACAATCTAGTTGCTCTGAGAGACATTGGTAACTTCACACATGCACAGAACGGGATACTCCTCGATATAGGAAAGATCAGTGTTGAAAAGTAAGGGTTACACAGTACAGTTCTTATATAGAGTGTAGGGTCAGAAAGAGATATAAAAAGTTAGAGAGACTAACCAAGAGAATGACAGAGTTAGAAAGAGTAGCAGGTAAGTGAAGAACATACAATTTATTAGTATGGATTATAGCCAATCTGCATTTTGCGTGATGTCCAATTATCTGCTTGTATTCAACGAGGCTGGCCCCAATTAATGCAGATCATCGGCTCTCTATTTATCTACTACTAGCTGTACCTGTTGCAGCTACGCTTGCAACCAAAGGATCCAATGTGGAATGTAGATTTCACTATTATTATACTTTATATTAATTATACTTTATATAATGTTAGATTCCCCCCAAATATTCCCATAGTTTTCTCTGTCACCACTTTGTTGCAGAATATATTAGTACAGATGTATCTCTCTAAAATGGTGTGTGGGATTTCCTGTCGCTACTTTGTTGCATGCACACCTCATATTTTGGTTAGTTAAAAAAANTAGAGCTTATCAACGATAGATCCCCGAAAAAAATATGCTTTTCCGATGAGGTATAAATCATACATTCAACACACACAGACATTGTCATTTTATTAGTGTAGATTACATGGGGATGGGGGAAAAGATAGGTGTGTTACTATTGGTGCTTTACCTGTACACAGATAGTGCAGCCAGGTTAGCTTTCTCCCACTGAAGTGCTGGTTGTAAAATAACTCAAACTGCAAGAGAAGAATCATTCATATTAGACACATTTCAGAAAATGTTTCCTTCTTACATGGAAGGCACAACATCTAATATGCAAATGACACTATAAAATATTTCATTTAAACCTACAAAAAATACACAGGTCAATGTATCTTTAAGTTACAATGGAATTACCAACCTACCATCTGTACACTCTTTTCCAGTTCTTGTGGGATGGCAAATGTAGATGAAGGCGCTTGTGTCAAGGGCCACGCACCAGCCTAAGATTGTAAACATAAATAAAGTTTATACAGCACTAGCCAAAGCATGGCAACTTTTACATCGGTTAATTTTGCACACTGTCTTTTAAAAATTGCTTCTTTATAATTCCAAAAATTTCATGTGGTCAAAATAGTTAAGATCAAAGCAGAAAAATAGTGAAGTTCACCTCACATAGATATGAATCTGAGCCATGCTTTCTGTAATGTGTATACGGTCACAAAGGCAGAGTCAAATCACTCCTTTACAGAGGCAATGAACTTTTTTTTTTGGTCACCCTCCTACCCCACCCTCCCTACCCTCTACCCGTCCTGATCCTAAACCACAGCTCGGATCCAAATCCAGCGTCTTGGGTCATCCTCCCTACGTGAAAGCCACTTTGTAAATGCAAGGATTATTATTATTACCTATTGGTGGCTGCAACTGCTAAAACTCACCTGATGCAAAATCTGATAAAATGAGGGCACTAACAGTGATTCACTATTGAATTCCTCACCATTGTTAAACCAATTATCAAGCTCAGGGATCTGTTGATAATTGCCAAAATGTGACATTACTCTGATATGTTATAGAGAGGGATGAATGTTCTGGTGTGTAGATATCCCAGCAAGATTAAAATATACTACTCCCCTATCTTACTATGTGACAGTATACAAAAACACAAAATATTTGCATATAATATCTAACATGAAACCCAGATCACAAATTGGACAAGTTAGATGAATACTTCCTATTGTGGTATGAAACAATACATAGCAAGAAGTTCATTTTGTGTTGAGTTTAACAGATTGGCTGAGTGGTAGTGGAAACCACTCCAGTGGAGGAGGGAGATAGGAAAGAAGAAAATTAGTTAGGGCTCTTACCCCTGCTCACTATAGTGATCCTTGGTGGAAAGTACACCTTGTGGATGTTGGGTGAGGGCAGCACCAAGTGAGTTTTGATCACACTGAAACCTAATAATCCTTGCATTTGATATAGAGCCTGATCGCTCATTGAGACGTCTCAAAGCACTTTACAGAATATACTGTAAAGTAAATTGACTTTGTGGGAGAAACATGACAGCCAATTATGCACAACAGTGCCCCACAAACAGTTGTGGATTGAGTGACCACTTATTTTCTTGGATGGATTATTATCCCGGAAAGCGATCCGCCAATCGGTTAACAACTAGTTACTGCTAGATAAACAGGTGCATGTGAAGTAAGGAAACTTGCCTTAGGTTTCGACCCTCCTGGGAATGGAACCCTGGCTCTCTTGCTTGCGTGGCGAGCACGCTACCCATTACCCTATAGGACCCCACTGTTACTCAAACAGCCTGTTGTTACTCACTCCCCACACTTGTATATACAGAATAGTCAGATGCCAAGGTACCAAGCGCTGCTGCTCTCCACAGAATCGTACCCTAACCACTTCAGAAGTGAATAAACCCTAATATCTTTCAAACACAATTGGAACAAAAATTTGTAACAATCAGAATCTTTGGCAAAATGAGTTTGAGTTACATTATCCTTTCATCATGGTCCTCCAAAGAAGTGTATATATTAAACACTATCCCTTCTATTATATATATCTCATTATAAATATTTATTATATATTATTATACAGCAAATTCACTTTACAATATAATCTGTCAAGTGCTTTGAGATGTCTAGAAGACGTGAAAAGCGCTATATCAAAATGCAAGGATTATTATTATTATATTAAAAAGTTTGTTAGCACTAGACTGCAATAAAGGCAGAAAGCTATCAACTAAAAGAAAATGTGAACACCCATTTACATGCATGCATAAGTGCAATAATTAAAAACAGTACTAACTTTTCCCATTAATCTTCCATTAAATACTTTATAAAACAAAACTTCCTGAGATACATCTGAAGATAAATTCCATCAAACACAATATTTACTCAGAAAGAAAAAAAATTCTAGAATTAGAAGTTTCACCCTTCACATATCCTATTTTGGAAATATTTCTCAGGTTATGCTATACATATGCCAATCAAAACAGTATTTTTGGAAGTTGTACTGTGTAAAAACAAGTGGGAAGCACATTTTAGCACGAACCGTATTGTAAAATGAACTTATACGGTTTCTCCATTAACTCCATTGTGCTACATATGAGGCTCCAATAAAAGTAGCTGACTGGCTATTGGACTGAAGAATAGCCCTTTGTATCACTTACCTGAAGGACATAGATCTGAAAGCTGATTCCAAGGTCTATTACAGTGTCCTGTTGTCTTAAAAAAGTGGATGAAAATTTGTTGTTTAGATCGGCACTGACATTCATATCGGTGTACATCCTATGAAGCTTGCTGGTAAACTCGTATCCACAGGCTTGCTGCATAAAAAGGTACAAGAATCGATCAGGACAATTGATCAAATAAAGGGAGCAGCACTCACTCATAGAATTTCTATAACCACTTTTATGTCAAAGCAACGCAGTTCCACAAATTCGAAAATAGTCCATCAAATTTATTTAAATCAGTGTTTTTTGTAAAAAACACCTGAGATGTGGGAGTCACTGGTGTACTTAAAAACATGGTTTTTCTTCAGAAATGGGAGAGTATTATGGGATGTGACGAAGAGACAGATATAGGTTTATCAAGATAACCTAGGAATTAATAAACTGGCATATCACAAAAAATGTTTTTATTTTGTAAAGAAATCCATGAGCAAGTGTTCACTTGATGGCTGATTGTGACCAATTTTCTTTTAGATGTTTACCATATCTGAGTCAATTCTGTTTCCAGTGATTCAACATTTTATCTAAATTTTGAGAATTACACAAATAATGGACTGCACATGGATTTTAACCTAAACAGATTTTAGGTGCATGTACCTGAAAATATACAATAAAATTGTAGTTGGAATTGTCACTGATTTTCTATACCATCTGTTGGTTCTAATTTCTCTGAACCATAAAGCTTCAAGAAAATTTACCCTAGATCACATTTAATTTCCCTTTTGCATCTCAGGCGCACACAGCATCACCATCCATGGATGCACACTCCACCTTATACTGAGCCAGTCCGGAACCTTGGCGTCTTGTTTGAACTTCAGCTATCCTTTCCACCCCACAGCTGTGACATTACCCGCTTTGCCTTCTCCCACCTACGCAATATCGCCCGTCTCCGCTACTGTCTCACACCGCAGGTTGCCGAAATCCTCATTACGCGCAATCATAACATCGAGGCTTGACTATGCAAATTCCTTGCCTGTCGACCTCCCCAACTCCTCCCTCAATAGGCTGCAGATCATCCAGAACTCTGCAGCCCATGTCATCTCCCGCACCAGGGTCTGTGACCCTATCACCCCCATCCTCGCCCAACTCCACTGGCTTCCCATCACACAGAGGATACAGTCCAAGATCCTAGTCCCCACCTCACATCCATGGCCTTGCTATCCTTCCTCTGCGACTTCCTAATCCCCCCCCATCCTACCCGCTCCCTCCGCTCAGTGGGCTCCATTCGGCCTGCTTCACCCCTGCGTCGCCCGCCCCACCATTGGCGGGTGGGCCTTGTGCCATTCTGTCCCCACCCTCTGGAACTCCAACCCACAGTCCCTCTGCCTCACCCCCTCCCTTGCCTCCTTCAGGCCCATCTCAAGACCTTCCTCTTCGACCGCGGTTTTGATCACACTGCTTCCCCCCCTGCCCCTCACCCTCCCCAATCCCGAACCCCAGCTCGGGTGCAAAACACTGACTGTTCAGCGCCTTGGGATGTCCTCCGGACGTGAAAGGCGCTATACAAATGTAATTTTGTTGTTTATCCAAACCATTTACAAACATCTGTTTGGATGAATTTTGAAGGTTTGTTGTTTTGGCTGCACAGTGCCTCAGACTAAATCAAACCTGTGATAAACGAAATAACCTCAACATGTAAAAGATAATTTTCTCCTAAAAGTTTAAAAAAAGTCAGAGCACGATTTTCAGGACTCAGAAGTAAAACGAATCATAAATCACAAATGAAGTTATCATGAAATAAGGCATTCGCTCTCCATTCAGTTATGGTTATACTTTTAACCACTTTAAGTAGAATATGTACAACTCTTCTAAATAAGCAAGCAAAGCCCAACTGCAAAAAAGTATGAAGAAATGTCATTTGCTTAAGGCTAGATTCTCTAATTCCATGCTCCATGTGTTTACAGATCTAGGATAGAAAACGAAGGCTTGTAATACTTCTAAAGGATATGCTCCTAATGGACTTTTTAATATTTGTTTGCACTCTCTCTGAACAAAAGCAAAGACAATCATGTTACAAACCTTCAATTTGTTAATCATAGCCTCCTCAGAATCCATAGACATTGAAAGACCATGTATCAATCGCTTCGCCAGCATTCTGGCATAGAACTGAAGGCAGAGAAAGAGATATTTTTTCCAACAGGCATTTGATTTAAAAAAATTACTTCAGTCAGAGATTAACCATTGTTGCAGTCTAACTACTTTGAAACTTTTCAATTACAAAAGCAAATGTGACCACACGTGTAAAGGCACATGTAAGAAATGTAAGCAAAAGCGCACAGCAGCAAAAGATTTTTGATAACAACCCTCAAAAAGCAACTGCTTTATGTACCATTACAGATATATTCTTAAGGTTTGCGAATGAGTCTACACGTACCACTTTCTTCATTTTCAGGTCTCTTTTAATCAGAGGATAACATACAATGTCACTTCATCGATGTTTGTATGGACATGCACGCAAGTGGAGTTTTCCAGATCAATATTAGCACACTACAAATAACCTTCCTGCCACTAAACATATGATATTAATTAAACCTTTTCCACATTTATCTGCGTGAATGTACTTGTGGGTAGTAGAGTTGTTGGATCTAAAGTAATAGAATATAAGTTACTGTTTACTTCCACAATGAGCAATGATCCTATTGACTATGCAGCCGAATTGTACACACCAATGTCCTGCAAACCATCATGAGTGAACAACCAATTTTACCTTGGGGAATTGTTGTCCAGTAAAATGGGTGGAACTCCCTTCTCTTTTTGAATTGGGGCGCAAGATCCTTAATGTCCACCTATGTTTAACATCCACCTTAAGAAGTAGACAGCTTAACATCTCATCTGAAGGTCGGAACTTCCAACAATGCAGAGCACCCCCATCACTTCATTGGAGTGTCAGCCTAGATTATGTGAGTTTGAAATCCTAATGTGGGGCTTGAACCCATAAATTTCTTTAGCAGAGACTGGAAAGCTACCAACTGAACCAAGTTGACCCCTATATGGATAAAGTTCTCTTATACTTTCTTGGCAAAAATCAGCAAATTATAGGGGAGGAAAGAATCAATGAATGTGGACAGTAATTTGAGACATCCTCCAAAAGTGAGAAGGCACTATATCAAATGCAAGGATTATCATTTTAAGTACGAGACAAAAGATGAAAAATCCTGCCATGGAATTCACTTAGATGCAACCTTAATCACACAAAGTGTTGGTAAGAGGAATGCACATTGCTTTTCTTTACCTTCTGAAAGACATCCTTATCGTCAATGTACTTAAAGACAGTGATGAAGCTGGTGAGCTTGTCCTCAACTTCATTTTCAGTCATTCCTTTTGCTGACTTCTTTAAGAGATTGTCACAGTATTTTGCCAGCTGAAACAGGAATTATTCAAAAATCTATTAATGTTTCCAGAAAACAGCAATATTCATCATCTATTATGTAGTTTTTTTAAAATACAAAATGCTTAATATCAAATTTTGAAATTAAATCTGTTAAAGGACAGACAACAGCAACAACTTACACTTATTACCTTTTCAATCAAATTCAAGATCTGCATCCTCACTTTGAAATGGTTATATAAGCATCACTGCACCTTACCTCTGTGGCTTCCTGCAACCCATTTTATGTCCAACACCTAATCCATTCCACTGGTAATGGGCAAGCTTTCAGTTATTCTATCCTGGTCTCTGGAATGACATCCCAGAGCTGCTCCACCTTGCCCCACTCTCTTTCTACATTCAAACCTGCTTTTTGACAACTTTTAATGCGTATGAATAAATTGTGCTGGTCAGCCCGTGTGGGCAAACCAGTGTCACTCACAATGCTGAGACACATTCAGCCATTCACATCCTCGGTGTGACGTAAATCTTAATCTTAATGTGGAAGTTGGCTTTCTGTATCTGTATTTGTGGAGTCCTGTAGCTCAGTGGTTAGAGAACTCGCTTTGCAAGCGAGAGACCTGAGTTCAATACCAGGCAGAGGGCGAAACCTTTGGCAAGTTTCCTTACTCCACACACCTAATAATAATCCCTCCAAAAACCAACAACAATAATAAATTGGTCATTTTCAATCTACGACTGTTTGTGGGACATTGCTGTGCGCAATTGACTGCCGCGTTCACCCACAAATATACAGTCAATTCACTTTACGTGTGTTCTGTGAAGTGCTTTGGGACGTCCTCCCGACGTGAAAAGTACTATATCAAATGCAAAGATTATTATTATTATTATTCAAAACTGTGGAATTCCACTCAGACACCCAATCTCCTGCCAGACTCCAGGAGCCTCTTTTGTCAGGAATCCAGCCTCACAATAGTCAAAACAAAGATTGGGGACCAATTGCTGCATTGCAGATGGGTGAACCTGGTGTCTGAAGATAATAATAATAATCCTTGCATTTGATATAGCGCTTTTCACATCTTCTAGATGTCTCAAAGCGCTTCACAGAATATACTGTAAAGTGAATTGACTGCATATTTGTGCACGAAACATGGCAGCGAATTGCGCACAGCAGTGTCCCACAAACAGTCGTGGATTGAAGTGTCCAATTTATTATTGCTTTTCTCTTAAGGGATTATTATCAGGCATGTGGAGTAAGGAAGCTTGCCCAAGGTTTCACCCTGCCGGGAATCGAACCCAGGTCTCTCGCTTGCGAGGCGAGTGCTCTAACCACTGAGCTACAGGATCTGTTGCATGTATTTACAAATCCTCGTGAATCACTGAATCAAACCTGAATAGAACATTATAATAGAATATAACATAGATATGGGCCATTGAGCCAAACTAAACCTACCAGCATGGCTTATTTCACCCTTTTTTAAAAAGAAGTGTCAAGATAGCAAAGAAAACAACAGCCCAATAATAGATTGTTTAAGCCAGGTATAATTTGTGGGAACTCCTTCCAGAATTAAGATAAATAGATAAGTGATACAGATTATTAGTCTGTGCATGTTTGTCAAACTTACCAATTCTGGAGCCTTGCAGGCAGATTTGGGTTCTCTATAGTTTACTGCTGACGTCAGGGCCTATAAAAGAATCAAATCTTTCTTTAGTACCATTTTCAGCAAACCAGTACAAACTGATAACTTTTGTTTTTGGCAGTGGATAAGTGCTCCAAAACCTGCAAACAACAACAACAAGATTACATTTATATAGCACTTTTCGTGTCGGTAGGACGTCCCAAGGCGCTGGACAGTGTACAGCATTTCAGACCCGAGCTGGGGTCAAGGGGGAGAAGGGAGGAGAGGGGAAGGGGGCTGACCGATGGCATGGTCGAAGAGGAGAGTTTTGAGGCGGGACTTGAAGGAGACTAAGGAGGGGGAGAGGCAGAGTGACTGGGGGATGGAATTCCAGAGGTTGGTGGCAGAGTGGCTGAAGGCGCTCTTGCCAATGGTGGGGCGGGTGGGTCGGGGGACATGGAGCAGGCTGGAGCCGGCTGAGTGGAGGGAGTGGGCAGGTTGGTTGGAGGTTAGGAGATCACAGAGGTAGGGTGGGGCGAGGAGTTGGGCGAGAATGGGGGAGATGAGATCACGGAGTTTAGTGAGGGAGAGGACACGGGCTGCAGAGTTCTGGATTATCTGCAGCCTGTGGAGGGAGGAGTTGTGAAGGCCGACAAGTAGGGAGTTTGCATAGTCAAACCTGGAGGTGATGAAGGTATGAACAAGAGTTTCAGTGGCCTGAGGGGTGAGGTAGTGGCGATGTTACGGAGGTGAGGGAAGGCAGAGCGGGTCATGGCTTGAATGTGGGGAAGAAGACAGTTGAGGGTCGAACAAGACACCTAGGTTCCTGACTGGCCCTTCCTCCCTACCTGTCAATCTAACATTGGCCCAAAAACGTTCTATGATTTTAAACCAATAGACCACTGAAGCTTGCTATGCGCAGGGCAAATAGAAAATTCCGGAAATATTTGCCAAAAATTGCAGGGAAATTTGGCAAAGTTTGCGGGAATTTTAACACATTTTGCGGAAAATTGTGAGGATTTGATTGGTGCTATTGAGGTACATTTTACTGCCAACCTACATTTTTTCACTTTATTGATTAAAAACAAAACATGAAGAGATAACAGAAATTAAGACTGTTGCAAAAAAAGATTAATGCGTTCTTTAACAACTGGGTGGCCCACTCGGGGTGTGCATGGGGGAGAGAGAACATCAGCACAGGACCAAAGGGCCCATTTCCACCCCGCACTATACTTGAAGGCCTGGAGATCCGCTAAAAAACAGTATTGCTTGCCAAGCTCGCCAGTGTCCTGACTACAGGGTTATAGGAGGTCATCACGTCCTGCCTCGCGGGGACCATCACTGCACACAGACACAGAGACAGATAGAGAGAGACACATACACACTCAGAGACACACATATACTCACAGAGACACACACGCTCACAGAGTCACAGTCACAGACAGTGAAAAACACACACCCAGACGGAGACTCACACTCATAACAGAGACACACACACACACTCACAAACAAACATACAGACAGAGGAAAGACAGACTTTTATTTTTTATTGGCCCAGGCCATGAGCCACAAGAATAATACTGGAGATTCAAAATTAACCACTAGAGGGTACTACACTACTTTACCAACATAAATAAATACAGAAATATGTGGATTTGATAAAGCGACACCAAACATTTCACACAATGAATTAGTAAAAAAAAAAGGCATGGTTCAAAAACATCTTCAAATGTTTTATTTCAAATAACTTGCCTTATCAAGAGCACTCATGAAATGCTGATCACCATTCAGGACTGTACTGATGAGCTGAAGAAATTTACTGTGAACTTCCAGAACAGATTCCACAAACTGTGTAGGCATCTGATCAAAAAAAAATCAAAGGAAAGAAATGTAACATTAATCATGAGGTAAAAGGTGGCAGAGTCAGTCTAGATTATGGCTTGCTATCAGAGAAAAGTTACAGATAACACTGGAGACAATCCAGCAATAAGTTAACTTGGTTTTAAAAGGCAAATAAAATGAAACCTATAAAAGGGGCTCACAATGCACTACCCAATGTGCCATACAAATCAGGAAGGGCCAGGTTCAATTCCTGGTCTTTGTTGAGTTAGCTGATCTCTGACTGAGAAGTGATGTGAACACTACGAATGGCCCCAGTGTCTTTTATGGGGAAAGTGGGCGAAAGCAGTAGAAACAAGGTAACATTCCCATACTAAACAAATGGTTGCATCACAATTTTTTAAATTATAGCAAATTAACCAACATAATACAATAATAATTATAATCCTTGCATTTGAATTAGCACCTTATCATATCTTCGAGATGTCTCAAAGCGCTTCATGGGATATACTGTAAAGCAAATTGACTGTACATTTTGTGGGTGAAACGTGGCAGTCAATTGTGCACAGCAGTGTCCCACAAACAATCGTGGATTGAAGTAAACAATCGTTTTTGGGGGGGGAGGGATTATTATCCCCGGAAAAGAGAACCCCCAAATCGACTAACAACCAGGTTCCTACTTACTGCTAAATAAACAGAGGTGTGTGGAGTAAGGAAACTTGCCCAACATTTTGCCCTGCCAGGAATGGAACCCAGGTCTCTCACTTGCGAGGCGAGTCAGCTTCAACTAATCACTCAGCTACAAGTCAATATTTGAAATGAAAATCTCGTCAGAAACCGGGGAGCCATTTTATATATATATATAATGAATCTATTGCCTGCAGTAACCTAATAGCAGCTGAATGTAGAAACTCATAGTTCTCAAAGGGTTCATGGAATCCACTGGATCCACAGGAGAGGGGAAAGAGTGAAGGACCTACATACGTTTTTCCACTCCTGCAAGGTAGAAGGCCCTAAATATTTAATTATTCTGAAAGAGAAAGTAAAGCTGTCAAGAGTTTAAATGTGTTCAGCATGGTGATCTTAATATTCCTTATTAGGAAAGATTTAAATATTGAAACATTGAAAAGTACTCACGTTTTCCTGAGAGAGGTTACTGATTGACCTAAGGCCCTCATCATGTATATGATTCTGAAGCTCCTGAATCATGTGAGGTAAACCATTTGAGACAGCCCGAAGTAGAGTATATATATTTGCCATGTCTACTGGAGAAAGAAAATGAAAAGTATAAGTTTTTTTTCTTCTGATATAAAATATTAGCCTTCCTACAATGGTAGCAGAGAGAATCCAACAGATTATGCATGAATCATTGAATTGAGTGCAGGATTCATAGAAACGATTCTGCAAGCTTCCTTTGAATTCTATGGTAAGTGCCAAAAGGGACCAAGGTGGGGACCCAGGGAATCCAGCAGATGTCTTGAAGTTCTTAGAAAGGTCTGTTTAGAAACATGGTTTATCCTTCCCCAATTTCAAATTTGATCATGAAAGTAAAATATCTGCCTTTGACTGGTGGCCAGTAACATTACTAGTATCTGCTACTCAACCCTCTCTACTTCTTGGGGGTTCAGCTGGGTATCTCGACACATGTGGAAACCCTTTCACATCAGACAAGGCAAAAGGAACCCAGGACCGAATTCCATAGAGTGCAGTCAGAATGGCTGAGAGCTCGCCACCAATAATGAGGAGGATCAGGAGAGTGACATGAAATAGGTCGGTGTTTGCTGAACAGAGGGAGCTGCCAAGTCAGTGGGATTTGCAGGAGGTTACAGGAGTAAGATGGTTACAGGGTCTACTTGCAAGACGAAAGGTCTTACTTGCTTCTACTGTGGAAATTGCACAGCAGAATTGTTGAAAGCCATATGACAACTTGGAGAAGTTCCTGAAAATACTAGTTACGTGTGTGGTTACAAGCATTTTGAATGCTTAAATTATTTAAAGAATGAAGAGGATTGTAAATTATAGGAAGTGAGCAGGATGGTAGGCGGTTAGGAGGTCGCAGGGGTAGGAGGGAGCAAGATCATGGAGGGCTTTGAAGGTGAGGACCAGGATCTTGAACTGTATCTTCTATGTGACGGGAAGCCAGTGGAGTCGGGCAAGGATGGGGGTGATATGGTCGTGGAGCCTGATGCGGGAGAGGACACGGCCTACAGAGTTTTGGATGATCTGCAATCTATGGAGGGAGGAGTTGGGGAGGCCGATAAGCAATGAGTTTACATAGTCAAACCTCGATGTAATGAAAGCACGTATGAGGGTTTCGGCGGCCTGCGGTGTAAGACAGTGGCAGAGCTGAGCAATGTTGCGGAGGTGGGGGAAGGCAGAGCGGGTCATTGCACAGATGTTGGGTAGAAAGCAAGTAAGACCTTCAGGCGCTGACAGCATCAGCATCCAAGGCTGCACTCCCCACCACTCAAAGCCGGTCAGGAACCTCGGTGTTCTGTTCGACCCTGAGCTGTCCTTTCTTCCTCATATCCGCGCCACAACTGGCACCGCCTTCCATCACCTCCGAAACATCGCCAGACTACGGCACTACCTCACCCCTCACGCTGCTGAAACTCTGGTCCACACCTTTATCACCTCAAGGCTGGACTATGGGAACTCTCTCCTCGTCGGCCTTCCCAGCACCTCCCTCCACAAGCTGCAGGTCATTCAGAACTCTGCAGCTCGTGTAATGTCCCACACCAGGCTTCGCGACCACATCATTCCCACCCTCGCTCGCCTCCACTGGCTTCCCATCCCCCAGAGGATCGAATTCAAGATCCTCATCCTCACCTACAAGGCCATTCAGGGCCTTGCTCCCTCCTACCTCTCCGACTTTCTATTCCCCTACTTACCTGCCCGTACCCTCCGTTCCTCTGGCTCCGGTCTGCTCCACATACCCCGCCCCAACCGACCTACCATTGGTGGCCGGGCCTTCAGCCTCTCAGCCCCTAGGCTCTGGAACTCCATCCCCCTGTGCCTTCGCCGCTTCCTCCCTTTCCTCCTTCAAGGCCGGTCTCAAGACCTTTCTCTTTGACCGTGCGTTCAGCTCCCCTCTCGACTCTCTACCCCCTCCCCGCTCCCTCCCTTCCCTCCCCTCACCCTGATCATTTCTCCCCTGCTTGGGTCCTGACCCAACTGTCCAGCGTCTTGGGAAGTCCTCCCGACGTGAAAGGCGCTCTATAAATGAAATCTTGTTGTTGTTGTTGAATCTTGTTGAATTGAGGAGTCAAACAAAACACCAAGGTTAAGAAGTACTTAATTGTATTCAAGTGTTTAACTGTATTTAGACGCCCAGTGGATCGGTGATTTCGCCATCATTTTCATGGCAGATAATCATCCGTCGCCATGTTCGGTGCGACATCTCCAATAACATAGATGGAGTGAAATGCATCTCTCACAGCTTGTTTCAGCTACTCCATAATCTCATAATTGGTTTGTAATTGGGAGTAAGAGGACTTTTTGACCACCCTGTAGAGTGTAATTCATAAACTAGAAAACATGTTTTTCTCACCTTCTCTCCTTTCTTGCTTAATGATATTCTGACATTCCCCATGTAGAAAATGCAGGTGGTCTGCCACCATTCGTTGCTGGCATTCATGAATCACTTTGGCATACGAGCTTGGATGTAAGTATTTGCGACATCGAACCTCTTCATCTTTTAATCTTGCTAAAACCTTTAGTTAAAAACAAATGCACTGAATATTTAGATCTTTAAGCTTCATATACAAATATTTACCGTTCACAAGTTTTTAAGAACAAAATGTCTCCAGTCCCATTTGGCTGCATACCTTTTCCATATATTGTGAGCAATTTGACTCTTGTAGCAAATTTGAAGCTTCCTGTTTGTAATACTCTCCTGTTTCTGTTAGAAATGGACCTTCAAAAAGATCCTGATAAAACTGAAGTAAAGGCAATTGTTAAGTGCAAGAAATTGGCTACATAACATAAGATGCAAGATTGATGAATTCGAGCACACATGAAGTTGCATGAAATTGAAACCCAAACTTTAAATAGTTACATTTATTTTACTTTTAAAAAAAAGATTTGATATGAAACATTTGACGCAAAACATAATAGTAAAACGTTCAGGAACAGTATCAGAAACATTGTAACACTGTAATGTACTTTTCTAAAATTACACAAATGAGAATTACAGGAACATTATTTCACCAACAAGTTATACAGTCAATTCACTTTGCAGTATATTCTCTGAAGCCCTTTGAGATGCCTCGAAGACGTGTTAAGGCATTATATCAAATGCAAGGATTATTATTATTGATGAAGAAGGCCCGTCAGACCATTTTATCTCATCCTTTCAAAATACCATCCCACCATTCGATCATCAAGCTGTTTCTTGAAGGAGTCCAGCTTCCTACCAGACATTAATTGCCCTATGTATAGTATGAAGCAATAATTCCAGGTGTCTGTGCTGATATTGACCTTGCAACCCTGAACTCGGTCGTTCTTGATCTGTCTTTGAACAGGTGCAATTCTTATGAGTTTACTTTATCTTATCAAGATCCCTTGTGATATGCCTCTTTTCAAGATTGAAGAGCCCAAGCTTGTCTAATCTTCGTTCACAGCTCAGTTCTCTCACTCTGTAGACCATTCTCATTGCCACCTCTTGGGTCTGTACAGACAAGAACAAGCAATCATATTCGGTCTGAGTAGCAAAATCTGAAATGAAAGATGATCATCCAATAAGCCTGTGACCATATAAAGTCTTGGTACAGAATCAATGGACATTTAGCTCATCCGCATGTGGTTGAGGTACCGGAAAGACAATACAACCCTGTTATAAAGCAGCAGTTGGTTCACAAAATTCCAACCTGCCTTACAATAGGGCAACCTCAAGAATGGCCACTAGTCGGTGCTTCTGGATCATGTTGATAAATCTCTGTTGCACACTACTTGATTGAAATTAGGTAACATGATTTGTTATTTAAGATAAGAAACTCACAGGGTCCACAACCCAATCCCGTTTTAAGCAAACCTGCATTATAATAATCCTTGCATTTCGATTTGAATAACTGAACCTGAGAAAAAATAGGGCAATAGGTGGCAGCAAATTCTGGATTTCTCTTACCTTAAGAGGAAATTTTTTCTTGTACTGTTCAACATGAACAAAGGAGTTGATAACCCCGTGGATTACTTTTTGATTTGGGTTCTCTCCACAGCGATCACTGAATTGTAAGAAAATAGAAAGAAATCACCTTGAAATGTATACAATAAACCCATGCATTATGAAGCTTCCTACAACATTCATCTCATCTCAGAATCATTTTGAGATGAATGTCACATGTACATCTGCGGTTAAGATTTAAAAAAAAGGAAGGTACAAGGGATGGAAAGTACCAAGTAAATAAGATCCTCTGATACTTTGGACCAGTTCTATTCTTGGTGCCAGTTTCCTTCTAAATTCAACATTCATCACAAGCAGTCTTTTGCTTCCACTCTACAAGTACTCCGGAATGTCGCCAGACTACGGCACTACCTCACCCCTCACGCTGCTGAAACTCTGGTCCACGCCTTTATCACCTCAAGGCTGGACTATGGGAACTCTCTCCTCGTCGGCCTTCCCGGCACCTCCCTCCACAAGCTGCAGGTCATTCAGAACTCTGCAGCTCGTGTACTGTCCCGCACCAGGCTTCGCGACCACATCACTCCCACCCTCGCTCGCGTCCACTGGCTCCCCATCCCCCAGAGGATCGAATTCAAGATCCTCATCCTCACCTACAAGGCCATTCCCGGCCTCGCTCCCTCCTACATCTCCGACCTACTATCCCCTTACCTACCTGCCCGTACGCTCCGTTCCTCTGGCTCCGGTCTGCTCCACGTCCCCCGCCCCAACCGCCCTACCATCGGTGGCCGGGCCTTCAGCCTCTCAGCCCCTAGGCTCTGGAACTCTATCCCCCAGTGCCTTCGCCGCCTCCTCCCTTTCCTCCTTCAAGGCCGGTCTCAAGACCTTTCTCTTTGACCGAGCCTTCAGCTCCCCTCTCGACTCTCTACCCCCTCCTCGCTCCCTCCCTTCCCTCCCCTCACCCTGACCATTTCCCCCTTGCTCGGGTCCTGATCCAACTGTACAGCGCCTTGGGACGTCCTCCCGACGTGAAAGGCGCTCAATAAATGGAATCTTGTTGTTGTTGTTTAAAAGCACCAGGTTTTAAATTGACTTGCAAAAATGTCTAAAAGTGTTTGGATGCACAGTTATACAAAAATGACCGTGTTTCTTCTCTCTTGTTCCCATCCTTAAAGCTGTGTAAAAATTCTTACAAGGCATTCTGCATATTGCCTTGTGTTCCTTAGCATTTCCTGGGATCCAACAATTTGTCAATTTTCATTTAATGTCTCTGGAGTATCAGAATTCTTTAGTGAGTTTAGCTTGGCTCAAGCAAAATTGTGCTGCCCACATCTGCATCCACTCTAAACTCCATTTGCCCATTACAACAGTCCTCACCAGGCTCTCCTGATAGATAGATCACCTGTGACTTTACAGATTATCCTGTGAAATACTTTGGGATATCCACCCAATGTGAAAGGTTCTATATCAAATATAGAAGGTTATTTCAAGGTCCTCACCCTCACCTATAAATTACTTCATGCCCTAGAACCTCCCTATTTCTGTGTTCTTCTACCCCACTCTTTTGCTCACCTCCTCTACTCAGCAAACTCATGCATACTGCTCATTCCCTGCCTACCAGCGGTTGCTGTGCGTTCAACACTTGCGCTCCCAGCCTTTGTAAGACAACAATGATAAATTGCATTCATACAACCTCTTTCATGTTGGCAGGATGTCATAAAGGTCCTGGACAGTCAAGGGTTTGCACCCAAGCCGGGGGTGGATTCAGGACGGGTGGGGCCAAGGGGGATGGGGTTAGGGGTAAGATGACCCAAGGTGCGGTCGAAGAAAGACATCTTTAGATTGAACTTGAAGGAGGAAAGGGAAAGGGCGAGGCGAAGGGACTCTGGGGATGGAGTTCCAGAGATTGAGGGCAGATACGCTAAAAACTCAACCACCATTGGTGGGACAGACAGAGCAGAGACATGAAGCAACCCAGTGGTCCCTGCGTGGAGGCAGCAGCCGAGTTCGTACCAATTAAGAAGGTCCCAGAGATAGGGTGGGACAAAACCATGGTGGGATTTAACAGTGAGGATAAAGATCTTGAATTCCCTCCCTCTATCTCATCCTCGTTCTATCCGTCTTTAAATCCTGCCTTTGACTATGCCAACTCTCATTGCCCCCTCTTCCTTTGCTTGGTGTCAGACACCATCCCTGTGATGCAATCAGAGTTGTTATCTAACGTTATATGAATGCAAATTATTGTGGTGTACCAGTATTCAGTTCTCTAGGTCAGTTCTGACACATAGCTGGGAACATAGAAATATTCCATTAAGGTCTATCTGGCCAATCCAAAATCTCTAATTTCCATCTATTTTGGCCCAAACATTAGCCTTATGCTGCTGTCTGTTTGGCACTGGCATCTCAAAATTCAGTATATGGCCTCTGAAGACTGCATATGTCAAATGATGCTCCACGTATGCATGGAGGTCTCTACATCATAAACAAGTCATTAGAAGTGGGTTACAAAGCAAGGTTCAAAGCAAGGTAATGTGCTTAAAAAAGTGAAAACCTAGGGAGCATAAGTTTTACAAACAGGGTATGAAATACCAGAGCAAAGAGATAGCTAAATCTAAACATATTATTGGTTAAGACATGGTTAGAATATTGCATTCAGTCCCAGGCGGCCTATTTTTGGAAAGGCTGCAGAGTACATAGAGAAGATTCACTTGCAATGATATGAGGTTGGGGCTCTTGTAAAAAATACTAGAGATTGGGGCTGTTCTCACTGGAAGAGAGATGGTTGAAATGAAATCAATCTGGCCTTAGTGTTCAAAGCCATGAGAATATTTTTATAAGGTAATAGGGAAAGCAATTGGTTGGTGAATCAATGACTGGATAGCAAGATTATTGCACAGAAAATTATGAGGTCATGCAAGGTCCTATCAAAAACAACAGCTGAAACAGAATCATGAATAGTTTTTAACGGGGAGCACATAAATACTTAAGTAGGAAACTCTAAATGGGTATAGGGACAAGGCAGAGAACTGGGACCAGAGATAGCTCTCACAGAAGAGCCAGCACAGACATGATGAGCCAAATGGGATTTCTTCTGTCCTGAACAAAAATCTATGATCATCGTGTAAGTATTGCAATGAGGTCAAGAAGTTTGTGGATGCACAAACATTTGGATTATGTCTCCTTGCCAAATAATGGTACCATAAAATGGGAGGTGTGTCTACAAAATCAGTTGGGTTTACTCCTGTCAGCTTTTGTGTTCTACTATTATTTGGCAAGTCAAGATGAGAAATGTCTTCAAATCCTGCCATATACAATGACATTGACATCTTCACAGGTGCTGAATGCAATTGGTCCAGATTTCCAATTTTAAAAGAATGGGTCAGGTCACTGGTAGCCAGAGACAACTGGACATCCAATTCCAAGCCAGGTCTTGTCTAACTTCAGTGCTTAGAAACTAACTCAGCAAGACTGAAAAGCAATAAGATGCAAGTTTGATGGGAATAAAGATTGCACTGGCACAGTCTGGAAGTCCTTTAAGAAGGGACAGCACAATCTTCCTCCCTTGCCAAAAAAAGTAACAGTCACAATCTGACTGCACTAGTGTGAACTCGCTATTGCCTTGTTCATCTAGTTTTATAATGGAAAATAAGATTAAATTTTACTATGTTTCTTAGCCAACCTGTTGTCTTTGTTTTAGAGTCCCCAAACCAGACTGAGTGTTCCATGTATGAAAATTACCATCTCTGAATGGACAGCATTCTCTCCCTGGAGGGATGCTCTCAACCATTCTAAGCATTCCGAGATGCTACCCTGCATGAAGGGCAACAACAACGACACTATATAAATGGAAATTATTGTTACCAAAGCTGGAGAGTATTTGGCTCAGGTTGGAAAAAGCCAAGGTTTGTGCATTGAGGTATTGATGGGAGCTTACCCAGCTAAGAAACAAACAACTGGTCATTGAGAGTCCTGCCGAGCAAGTTTTCTCCTACCATGAGGGCTTTGGCTTGTAAAGTTTGCAAGAGTTCCCCAGTCTGTCCCTCTAAGACCTAAGCCAGGCTGGCTGGTCTGTCATCAGCAGTACTTTGAAGTACTGCGGACCCACTTGACTCAGAAACTAGACCATTGTGACTGTCACATTGATTGAATTGATAGAATTGATTTGATTCTGTTGCCAAGCATGTCACCTTGGAACCAATTCAGCTCTAATGAGACCTTGCTTATCCTCCCCTCCCTCACTTCGAGGAACATAGTTGGTCATTTGATATTTGACAAGTGCAAGTTTCTACTCTCATTCGGTGGACAACAAGTATCAGGAATTCTTCTGGCCCACAGGTCGGACACGCTTCTCTACCCATTAAGCAATCATTCCGCTCATTAGAGGTGCAGAGCTTGAGCAGCAGCTGCTTACCTCTCTGCATATCAATCAAGGTGGATTCCAAGCCCTGGATAAATGAATATGTGTTCACAAACCTGGACTCCACGTAATACCTTCCAGCAGCTGTCAACCCAAGCATCAGAGTTTCCTCATCAGCTCTAAGACTTCAGCGTGGTGGCAGCTTTTATAGGACAGTTTGTGACATGCCAGGCAGCTTGATGTTTTAGTGGTCCAAGCCCAATGCCATACAGCAGGCTTACTCAGGAAAGATTACTTAATTCAGGTCCTTATTTGAGGGGGGGCTTTGGCAGGTAGACATGCACATAGTGAAGTCGGCTTTTCCTTAAGGGTGCTCAGCGACTGGTCAGTGTAGACCCAAGGCCTCCCTCCTTGCAGTCACTTCCCCTTTTAAACACAAATCATCTCATTACTTGATCCTGGACGTTGCAAATAGGCCAGATAAAACCCCTATATTGCATGCTCAGGAGCTCATAACTATTTACTACTGTTAAATTATTTTTGCTTTCAACCAGCAGCCATTAGAAACTGAATTGAGATTTCCCAAACCCTTTTTACACAGCACCCTAGTAGAGCGCATATATGAAACTTTCATCCTGGTCTGGATTCAAAAACCCAAGTCTCAAAATTATAAAAAAATTAAATTTGTAGCTAAAAATACAAAAAAAAAGGGGGTAGGGGGAAAGAAATCACTTAATATGATAAAGGACTATTTTTGTAACGGGTTACTAGCATTCAAATAAAATACAAGGACTAATGCAACCACAAACCCACTCACTTTTTTATTTCACGGAGAAGCATTCGGATGAGGATGGTCTGTAATGGTTCAATCATCAGTTTCTTCCACATGTCAAGAGCTAGCTAGAAAGTTAGAATTATTTGAAAAAGTTGAGGTGCATAAATTTCTTTCAGAATGTACAAAAATAGATAAATAAAATACAGGGCAAAAGTTTTCAGCCAACCAAGCCTGTTTTGATCTTCATGTTTTGATCAAATGTACAATTTGACAATTATTGTTTCCCATCCCACTTATATCATCTTTTGAGAAGATGGCACTTCATGTAAACCTTTCAAGAAAAAGCTCTGTGAAACTTCTGACAATAGATAAATCGAGCAAAAGACTCTCCAACATCAAACGAACACTACAATTCATATTACTCAACCCTGATCCCTTAAGATTCCACAGAATCCCAATAGCACAGAATCCATTATTTTCAAAATAAATTATCATTTTAATGTATACTTGTATATTTTAATCTCCTTCCTAACCAGGCATTCAGACAACCCTTCTTCTGAAAGAATTAATTGGCATAACATCAACTGCTTTAAAACTTTTCAAAATACGTACGACCCTGTTGGAAAAATGTTTTCCAACGTTTAGTCTTTTCATTTTCTCTTATTCTACAATCATTCTAAAATCTATGACCTGCTTCAAATTACCTTATCCATGATTTTATACGACCAAAATATTGTCCTTTTTTTATTCTCTTGTGAAAACAAGTTCAGTTTTATGAGTCTCTCAACCTAACCTACCCAAGGTAAGTTACAACAAAGCTGCTGAGCACACCAGTGACATTGTTGTGATCCTTAAAAAAGATGGATTATATTTTGTGGCAGAACTTACCTCTCCAATCTCCATCAAAGGCTCAATAATATCTACTCCTCCATACCCATACTGAAGGTCAGCTTCTGTCAGTTTGTTCTTCTTGATGAACTGTGTGTTGAGATATCTATGAACAACAAAAAAAAGTTGCAAAAAGTAAAGTTGCTAAACCTGTCACCTTTGAAGCTCCTGATGACCTTGGAGACGACAAGTTTGCAGGGCTATGGGGAGAGAGCAGGGGAAGTGCGACTGATTTGCATAGCTCTTTTCAAAGAGCCGGCACAGACACGATGGGCCAAAGGGCCTTCTTCTGTGCTGTATAACTCTATGAAAATTTTTAAGACATTTTAGTTTTGAGTTTCATTAGCAGTTTTGAGAGCATTCAAAAAATATATAAAATATTAGCTTTAAACAATCAATTGAGCTGCAACTTAACACAACCATTGCTAAAGCAATCCTATTTTGAATAATTTCTTTCTTTGAATATTATCATCCCTGCAGAGAATATGTGTGGCAGAATGGTTTCTCTTTTATTGCAGATTGGGTTTCAAATTCAGAAACCTTTGAAGGAAGACTGCGTGGTCAGTGTTAGAGTTTAAAGTTCAGGCAATAGGAGGCAGAATGAGAGCTCAGTCAAACTGAGTTGTGATGGCTGATTCTACAAAATAAATTATCACACCAGATGTGTTTTAATTATCTTTCAACCTCATTGGAGGTTATGTTCATGAATACCACAAAGAGCATGATTGTCAATTCAATAACAATCTTGGCATATTCTGTTAATTATTTTAAAAGGGAATGGAACTAGTTTTTTGAAGACAAGAAATATTAAAGAGTATGGGGCACAAGCCAGTGCGTGGAATTGGGTCACACAAAGAAAAATGCCAATGCAAACTTAACGGGTTCAATACAATACAAAATTACATCGGTAAACCTCTTTCACATCGGGAGGATGTCCCAAAGTGCTAAACAGTCAGGGATTAAGGATTAGGACCCGAGTGGGGGAGAAGGGAGGGGGTGGGATCAGGGAGGATGGAGGGCAGAGAGGCATGGTCGAATGATCTGTTTCTGTGCTGAAACATTTTATGATTAAGTTTTAGAACTAAAAGGCTACCTGTGTATATTGGTAATGTCAATTCAGGGAAAGACATAACACTTGGTGATTAAATATTTTTTAAAAGCCTGTTGACATCTTTATCTCTTATTGCAGCAAAAAAACATAATTTCAACTATTCACTGAATACTGAGCAGCCACGGATAATATAGCTCAACTGTATTTTAATATTGTGACTGTGTTAAAACAGAGTAAATTGCAGTTGACATCTTTCATTTAGAAAGCTGATATATGATGCTAACTTCCATTAAAGCTGCTGAAAGTACACCTTAGGATCTGATTCTCCTCCAAACAGAAAAAAGTTAAGCAGCATTGGAGGAAAATATTGTAGAAACTATTAGGCAGAAGTACAATTACAGAACCCACTGTACTGTATGTGTACTCTGGACACTTACACAAATAACTTGCTGAAAGGTCATTGCATCCACATTGTAGTGTTGAAAATTGTTTTTGCATGACACTACAAAGTTCTAAAGTTAAATACTGAGAACTCATAATACCAACAGTGTACTTGTTCCTCTAGTCGATATTTACAAGCTTAGTGGAAATGCGGTCAAATACTTACAAACAGGATATTCAGTCATGTCAGATTAGAAAGAGAGATGATGGATACCAGAAAAATGCTTTGTTTGTGAAGGTTCAATTTCTCAAAGAATGATTGAGATGCAACATAAAGTAAGTCATCACTATTTTGTTCTCATTTATTCAATCTTTACATATAGGAAGTACCTGTTCAACAAGGTAGTGCAGATTTGCACCACCAGCCTATGATGACCAACATCTTCAAACTAGCTTGAACCACAGCAGCAGCAAACTGCTTATTGTTTTGTGCTGAAAGTCGCAATAAGGTTGTGTAAAAGAATGCAAGCCTGCCTCAGTTGGTGGTACTTTTCTCTCTGAATCAAGAGGTTGGTGAGTTCAATTTCCACTTCAGCATTCTGAACTCACATAATCTTTGCCAGTGGTCTCCAACCAGTCAATCACCACTAGGTGGCACTGTCACGATGCTCAAAAAGACAAAAGGAGCAATTTTCATGGCACTTTGCCGAATAAAGTTTATATTTTTATTTTGAGATGCATCATCAATGCATCAAAGCGACCAAAGTGTTCTACAAAATTCTGACATTGACGAGTCAACTCAGCCAAAGGAGAAACTCTGATGAAGAATTCTAACCAAACGTTTACCTTTCTCTTTTAAATGCTGATCATGCTAGGAATTTCTAAAACTGTTCTATAACAAATAATAATAACCCTTTCATTTGTGATAGTGCCTTATCACATCTTTGAGACAATTCAAAGCACTTCACAGAATATACTATAAAATAAATTGACTGTATATTTGTTGGCAAAACGCAGCAGCATCCCACAAAACAGTCATGGATTGAAGTGACCAATTTATTATTTTTTTTGAAGGAATTATTACCCCCGGAAAAGCTATCCACCAACCCGGTTGTTAGTTAAACAGAGGAGTGTGGAATAAGGAAAGTTGCCCAACGTCTCCCCCAACTGGGAATCAAACCCAGGTCTCTCGCTTGCGAGGCAAGTGTTCTAACCATTGAGCTACAGGACTCCACTTGTGTTTTACCCCAGTTTTCAAGCATTTCCAGCTTTCCTTTTAACGTCTGCTACCAAAAGACATCTAATTAAACATTTTGAAGGGTAAATAATATGATTTTCCTCAAGGAGAAATCTTAATTTCACTGACGGTTTTGTGCTGAAGTGGATCACTCTTCCTGCAATTCAAATCGCAGAGTCTTTTGATGCACCAATCTCATATTAAAATCTACAGCCGGTGGATAATGTCAGATGTAGCAGCTCAATAATATACAGAAGTATTCCTGGCTTGAAGCTCTTTGGACTAATTTACTCGTAAGGTTGTATCCAGGATGAGTTGGGCAGGAAGTTATTAACAAAATACTAGTTTCACTGGCTTAGTTGACTTAGTTCTGTGGTTTTATAAAGTAGAAAGAAAGCAATCTTTAAAGTCAAAGGTTGCCTGTTAAAAAATGACCTCAAAAGAAACCTCATTTGACATAGTTTTTCAGGAAAATCTTACATTTCCCAAAATGTCCAATTCTTGCATTTCCAGCTCTAAATCCAAATAAAAGGACATTGGGAGACACTGGGATGTAAAGTGAGAGGATGACCAGGCTCCCTTAACGCCCTGCTGATACCTAAGATCACTTTCCCCAAAGTATTGGCAGATAGCTGAAATTGACTCTTCACATAATTAATCCTTAGATTTAGGATACAAAGAAGTGTAAGGATAAATTAATCCAAAAGACATTTAGCAGGTATGATTTCTGTATATAACTGAGCTTAGATATCCGGAGATGAACTGATGGTTATGGAGCTCAAGAGCAGAACCAAGATTGTCAGATTAGTTTTCTATTTACTGTGAATTTTCTTTCTTCCCTGTAATGATAATCAACCTTACATTTGATATAGTGCCTAAAATCTCAAAGCATATCAAAATACTTCACAGGTAATTGCCGACAGGTTGTATTTTAAATTGCCCCTGCATCCCATCTAGGAAGAGTAAAATCACTCAGACCTGGAAAATTGTTCTTTTCATTGTGCAATGCTGTTGCTGGCAAACCCATAATGATGAAACATTGGGCTTCGAATTTTACATAATCTTGTTTATAATCTTCATGGAGTCATAGAATTATACAGCACAGAAGGAGGCCATTCGGCCCATTGTGTCTGTGGCCAGCTTTTTGAAAAGAACTATTCAGTCCCACTGCTCCACTCTCACCCCATAGCCCTGTAAACTTGTCCTCCCCAGATAATTATCTACTTCTCTCTTAAAAGCTGTTATCGAATCGACTTCCACCACCCTTTCAGGCAATGCATTCCAGATTGTTGGCCAGGACACCAAAAGAAACTCCCTTCTCTTTTCGAATAGTGTCATGGGATCTTTAACGTCCACCAGCAGGCAGACACAACCCTTCTTTAATGCCTCTTCTGAAGAACAGGACCTCTAGCATTTCCATCGACAGCACTTGCGTTGAAGTGTCAATTTGGATTGTGAGTTCAAAATCCCAATGTGGTCTTCTAACTCTTGTAAATCTTTTGTACATATCAAAGACTGATTAAATAAATTACCGCACATAATACTTCTGTTGCAGGAAGCTTTCGAGACTCTCTCTGACCACCCAGACTATAAATGTAAGCCTGGCTAAGTTGGTAACACTCCCCTCTAAGAGTTAGAAGACCTGCTGGTGGATGTTAAAGATCCCATGACACTATTCGAAAAGAGAAAGGAGTTTCTTTTGGTATCCTGGTCAACAATACTCCAGATACATTTGGTCATTTACCCTATGTGTGTTTGTGGGACATTGCTGTAAGAAAATGACTGTCTCGTCCACCTACAAATACAGTCACTGCACTTTAGAGTAAAAACCTGTGAAGTCATTTTGAAAATACGATAAAGCACTACATCAATTGCATGGATTACTAAGCGTTTCATTCTTGAATGAGTACCATATACCTCTTAATAATTTAAAGAACGTTTTTTCAAAACAGGTGTTGCAACTGTAGGAGTTTATTTTATGTACCTGTACAAGCAGTCCATGTAGTCTGCGCCCTTACTGTACTCTTCCCAATATTTGTGGTACATCGTCAAAATCTTTTCTTCAGAATCCAGAACTTTCTATAAATGAAATGCAACAGTCAATGTAAGCTAGGAAAATAGGGAAAAGCAGAAACAGATTTTAAAAAATCAAAAATATACAAACCTTACACTTCACAGTAATAAACCTGTGAAGCACTTTGAGATGTTTTGATAACATGATAAGGTGCTATTAAATGCAAGAATTATTTTTTTCTATAAAAATATAGTTATGTTGACATCATTGAGAAACTGCAGTTATGAGCAATGAAGCTCTCAAGTTCGTGATTGTAGTATAGACCCTGATATTTATTTGTGAAAAAAATGCAGGCAAAAGATGAGCTGCTGCACTTTAAAAAGCCGATCAGTGACCTGTGCACTAAGTGATAGCCAACACCTAACTACCATATTATAATGGGATTTTATGGTATTAACAAGGTACTAATGCACATACAAGAAACATCTGAGGTAATGATTCCCAAATGATGGTGGTTTAACTCCTTGACATAATCAGAATCAGTAAATCAACCAAACCAACAGTCATTAAGACTCATTGTTTAAAAGAGCTATGAGGAACGGTTAGAAAAACTGTCTCAAATAGACAAACTCTATTCATGAGGACCTTATAAGAAGAAACAGGAAGCTTAATGGGAAAGAGAAAGTAAATATTGAACAATACTTTCAGATACACCGTAGCTGCAGGACAAGTGGTCAAGTTGTGAAGGACAATTTTAGGACAAACAGAAAGTATTTCTTTACACAAAAGGGCAACCAAAACAGCTGGAACTGTTACTGGAAAAGCCATTCGACTTATTTAAGAAACAGATTTATGCTGTGATCAGAAGACAAGACAAAATAAAAAAAGTGATAATTATAATTTGGTCACTCAATCCACTACTGCTGTATACAATTGCCTGCCGTGTTTCACCCACAAAATACAGTCACTACACTCTACAATGAAGTGGTTTGAGTCATCTCAACGAGGTGATAAGGTTCTGTATCAAATACAAGGATTATTATTATTAACAGGTGTAAGCTGATGAAAGAGTGCGGCTGAGACCCCCCCCACATCCCATCTTGGGCTGGTTTTTGTGTAGTAGAGACTTTGTTGCAAAGAAAGAACCAGCATGAATGGGACTAGTGCCACCTGGCGAGGGGATACCGTAGGCACAGCAGCAGCAAATCAGGGTGGCTACATGGCAGAAGGGTGGGTCGTGAACGAGAGACACTGCTGCCATTTTATTTAGGGACGGAGAGAGAAAAACTCCTGCTAGATTGTCTGTGTAAGCGACTCAGAAACACAGAGCGTAAAGGACTGTCTGTTTAAGGGACTCGGAGACACTGAGGGCAGATCAACAATCTACATGAAGCGGTCACCATTCTCTACCGGAGGAAGGATTGGATCACATTTAATCCGAAGGGTCCCTGGATGTATGTATTGACTTTGGTTATTAAAACATTAACTCTTGTATTACATTGTGAGGACCCCACAAACTCACAGGATGGGTATTTTGGAAGAATGAGATCAAGTGAGCGAAAGGGGCTTCTTCATCCAAACCTCTTTTGATTTTGTGGGGAATCTAAGATGAAATTGTTTAAGTTTTAAAAGGCTATCTCTGATGGTTGTCGTAAGAAGAACGAGTTGAAAATCAGTAAAAGGACATAATTTGCAGGACATAGGAGTACTGACACTGATGATCAAATGGTTTGTTTTTGACTCAAGTTGGAACTGTGAAACTATAGCCAGTCACACTAAATAATGTAGATATTAATTATACAAATATTCTGGTATCTTCACTCAATTACTAGGGGCAGAGAGAGATGAAGTCAGCATTAAGTCTCATTTTTACTTGTAGTTATTCATCTCCTTTGATCGAGGAGAGTTCCCCACAATGCAAATTATTCAATGCAACATTCAAAGCAGTGGGCAAGATGGGCTGAATATCACTTTCTTGTTCTGCACTTTACGCCCTTGCAGAATTTAAGTAGTTAACTAAAGTGATACCTTGTACAAATGTTGGACGTGATTTTCCAGAAAGATTTTTGTTTCTGTGTAGAGTCGTTCTCCCAGAGGTTCTGGGTAGGCTACGCACAAAGCATAAATGTCTCTGAAAAGAACGTTAAGGGTCATGACAACATAAGAGACGAAAATTAGAATATTATTAAATATAAATTGTACATGAAACCTTCAAAATTGGAAAATACTTGTTTAGAAATCTAAGCAGAGTACTTGATAGAATCTCACAATAACCAATTGGTACTACACTTTTCTTGGCATTGAGGCAACGAAGGATTAGCTCGCAAACCAGTTCAGACCATTGCTCCCATTAATTGAATGGAGTTCCTCACCGATGGACCGAGCTCCTCCAAGATAACTCAAGTCACTAGAACCACTTCAAAGCAAGAAACTTTTTCCTAGAGGCATAATATTTTCTTATTGCTTTTTTCTTCTACAGTTGGTCAGTTGTGTGAACAGAAAGTACTCCCCACCCCCAACTCACCAAACGTAATTTGTAGTTGCATTTACCAAATTCTGTTTTGAATCAGCCATGAAGTGAAAGTGTTTTTTGCAGTAAATGCAAAATGTGTAACCAATTTGTTGAAATTTCCTTCAGCAAAACACAATTAAGGACGGGCAAGGCAAAGGATGTGGTGGAACATGCAATGTGCTTTTGAGATATGTCATTAAGAGTGCTCTGATATGAAGAAATCACCATCAGAAAAAAAAGCAACTCTGATCAACAGACCACGCATAGGCTAACGTTAATTCCACTTCACAATTGTTGAAATATATCGTATGAGCATTAAATAGCATTATACTTTAAGATAACACCATTGCATAGCCTTATTCTAGAATATTTCTGCACAGAAGGGGGCCATTCAGTTAACCAACTTCTTTAACAACAACTCGCATTTAGATAGCACCCTTCACGCGAGGTAGTGACCCAGAGCGATTGACAGTGGCAGATTCTGAACCCGAGAGAGAGTGGGGAGGTGACCGTAAGCACGATCAAAAAGCAAAGTCTTTAGGTGGAATTTGAAAGTGGGGAGGGAGGGGGCAAGGCGGAGGGATTGAGGGAAAGAGTTCCAGAGTTTCGGGGCGTAATGGCTGAAGGTGGAGTATGATTTGAAAACAAGTAAGAAAATATTGAAATAATTGTGTAATTGAAGTAATTGTGAGCCAATGGAGCCTGGCAAGGACTGGTGTGATGGGATTACGCAGTTTTGTGAAGATGAAGGTAGTGGAGTTCTGAATTAGTTGTATTTTGTGTATGGTTGAACTGGGGAGACCAACGAGAAGGGCATTGGAATAGTCCAGCCGGGAAGTGACGAAGGCGTGGACAAGGGTTTTGGCTGCTTTTGCTGTGAAGTACGGACGGCGGCAGACAATATGACGGAAGTGGAAAAAAGCGGTCCTGGTCAGGGAATGGATGTGGGGTAAAAAGGAAAACTGGGAATCAAACCTGACGCCTAAGTTGCACACGGATTCGGTGAGACTGAGGCAGAGACCAGGGAGAATGAGGCGTTCTGACCCACAGGAGAGAAGATGTTGACGGGAGCCAATGAATATGGCTTCCGTCTTGCTGACAGCTGCAGGAAATTTGCGCTCATCCAGGCCTTGATGTCCGCCAAACAAGCTGAGAGGACATCAGCGGAGTGAGAGACGCAGCTGGAGGAGAAAGAGAAGTAGATTTGGGTGTCATCCACATACATGTGGAAGTTGACCCCATGTCTGCGGATGTCCCATGTCTAGGAAAAGTAGTAAACAGTGAGGAGGATAGTAGCAGACTGCAAATGGACATAGACAGACTGGTAACATGGGCAGATACGTGGCAGATGAAGTTTAATGTGAAGAAATCCAAAGTGATGCATTTGGGGAAGAAGAATGAGGAGAGGCAATATAAGCTAATGGTAGAATCTTAAAGGGGTTGAAGGAACAGAGAGACCTGGGGGTTCATATCAGTAAATCTTTCAAGGTGGCAGGACAGGTAGATAAAGCTGTTAAAAAAGCATATGGGATACTAGGTTTTATAAATAAGGGCATAGAATACAAAAGTCAGGAAGTTATAATGAACCTTTATAAAACACTGGTTAGGCCTCAGCTAGAGACTGTGTTCAGTTCTGGGCATCACACTTTAAGAAGGATGTCAAGGCATTGGATAGTGTGCACAGCATTTATCAGGATGGTATCAGGAATGAGGAACTTCAGTTATCAGGAGAGGCCAGAGAAGCGAGGATTATTCTCCTTGGAGCAGAGAAGATTAAGAGGAGACTTAATAGAAGTTTTCAAAATTATGAGGCGATTCGATAGGGTGAACAAGGAGAAACTATTTCCACTGGCGGGTGGGTCAGTAACCTGAGGGCACAGGTTTAAAATAGTTGTTAAAAAAACAGAGGAGGTGAGGAGAATTTTTTTTACACAGTTTGGATCTGGAATGCATTGCCTGAAAGTGTGGTGGAAGCCGATTTGATAACAGCTTTTAAGAGAGTAGATAATTATTTGGGGAGGACAAGTTTGCAGGGCAATGGGGTGAGAGTGGAGCAGTGGGACTGAATAATTCTTTTCAAAAAGCCGTCCACAGACACAATGGGCCAAATGGCCTCCTTCTGTGCTGTATAATTCTATGATTCTATGACATTGCCAAGAGGGAGCATGTAGATAAGGAAAAGAAGGGGCCCAAAGTTGGAGCCTTGGGGTATCCAGCAGGTGACCAGGTGGAGGCAGGAGGAGAGACCGTTTGCCGAGATGTATTGTTGACAGTTAGTCAAGTAGGACTCGAACCATGCGAGTGCGGTCCCACTAAGGTGAATGAGGGAGAGGCAGTGAAGGAGGATGATGTGATTGACTGTGTTGAATGCGGCAGAGAGGTCGAGGAGAACAACAAAATTACATTTATAGAGCGCCTTTCATGTCGGGAGGACGTCCCAAAGCACTGGAGGCATGGTCACTTTAAGCATTTGTGTAAGTCCTTAATCACATATTATTTATCTCTTTTCTATCACAAAATGATGAGGCTGGGTTATTTGTAGCCACATTTCAACCCAAAAAAGGAACAATGAACCTTTCAGAAATGCAATATTTTTCAGCTTCATACTTGTTTTTTTTCATAAAATACCCAGAAAATAGAGTTTCTGTAAATATTTACAGATCTAAATATCAGAGGAGTTCAGGGAAATTCCTAAATCTGTTTAGTTGGTGGACTCGTAATACAAACAAGGAATCAATATCAACAATTGTGGCCATGACTTCCCAGCTGCTCACATTTGCTGTTACACGAAAGACTGGGAATTTTGAACCAGGAAGTAATTGACCAACTACTGACAGCAGTGATTCACTACCAAATGGACCATGAATTGTACTGGAGTCCCACTCTGAAAAGTGCATTTGTACACCTTAAAATGTGGCAGTTGTAAATCACATTGTGCTCTCTCCCTTCTCCGTAGATAACTCAGGCCAAGAAACTTTGAACAAACGTTTTATTACAGCTGTTGAAGAGACAATCACACGACCAGTTCTTTCATGACATCAAAAGTATAAACACCCAATTTGGTATAACCTACTTGAAGACTAAGGATATTCCATTAGTCAGGAACTCAAATCAGCATAAAATGTATTTTCTTAAAGTAAACAGAAAACTTCAGAAAAATTTATACTGCATCACCCTGAGATCAATATCTTTGATACTGTGGCCATTTCCAACTACACTATTTTTTAAAAAGGGCACCCTGCTATTTAGCATTGCAAAATTTTAAACACTGGAATGGAAAACCAGAGGAGTATTTGTTTGCCTAGTAAGGATACGAGAAGCGGTCATTCCACGTCGATCTCTCAACGTAATCCAGCATGACAACTGCTCTGATTGTCGTCAGGAGCTTGTTCCATGTCTCATCAAAATCCACCACTCGTGGTTTCAGGGACATTGTATGGCTTCACTGTAAAGGAGAAAAAAAAAAGCTTCATTTCAGATGTAAGCAATTACTAAAAAAACTTTTAGAACATCAGTTTTAAAATGTTAACATGTATTTTCCAGACAAATATTCAGAACCATGTTAATTTAGCAAGTGTCTGCCAAACAGAACATCTATTCTAGCTCCCACATCAGCGCATTTTCTTGGTTTGGATTACAGCACTTTTCAAAAGAAAAATCACCTGAATGCTGTACAGTAATACATATACAAAATCTATTAACGTTCAAATATATAAGACTAGCTGTATCCATTGCAACTATGCTTGAAACATTGAAACATATAAGAAAACCTAAAAAATGCAAACTATAAATATCAGTGCACTATATATTCAAACATGGCCCAGCAAAGCAACCAGAACAGAATTTATAAGGGTCCAAGTTTCTATCCAGCAAACGAACCTGCAATGAAATTTGGTCCAATGTATAATAATAATCCTTGCATTTAATATAGCGCCTTATTAATAATAATAATAATCCTTGCATTTGATATAGCGCTTTTCATGTCAGGAAGACAGCCCAAAGCGCTTCACAGAACCCACTGTAAAGTGAATTGACTGTATATTTGTGGGCGAACGCGGCAGCCAATTGTGCACAGCAATGTCCCACAAACAGTCGTAGAATGAAAATGACCAATTTATTATTGTTTTTGTTTTGGAGGGATTATTATTAGGCTCTGTGTGGAGTAAGGAAACTTGCCCAAGGTTTCGCCCTCTGCCTGGAATTGAACTCAGGTCTCTCACTTGCAAAGCGAGTGCTCTAACCACTGAGCTACAGGACTCCACGAATTACTTTGTTGAAACGTCTCAAAGCACATCACAGATAATACTGTAAAGTGAATTGACTGTATATTTTGCAGGCCAAGTTGTGTAAACCTTATTGAATGGATGTCAGATTTTGGTGAAACATGTGTGCAGATGCAAAGATATATTTAGTTGCAGTAAGAGGTTTCAGAGCCAGAAATGTTAGAGGGATGAGCTATGAGCAACGAATAGACAAAGTTAGAGCTTTTCAGTCTTGAGAGAATAATAATAATAATCCATGCATTTGATATAGCGCTTTTCACATCTTCAAGACGTCCCAAAGCGCTTCACAGAATGTTTCAGATGGGACCTCATAGAGGTGTACAAAATTTTAAATGGGATTGAAAAAGTAAACCAAGATCAATACTATAAGGTACAACAACAGTACAAAAAAACAAAAAAAAGTAGAACAAGAGAACGAACATAGGTTCAGAGTTAGTTGTAAAAGGCAGTTTCAGGACTGTTACCAGGAAGTTTTTCTTTTCTCAGAGAATATGGACTCATTTATAAAGAAGCTTGATGCTGTGTGTGAATGGGGGACGGAAGGGTTGGTGTCCTGAAAGGATAACATCAAATGGGCTGAAGGGTTTTCTTCATCTGAATCAATCTTGTGAATGCTAGCGTTTAAAGTAGTTATTTTTAAAATGAACTCCTTATCTATTACTATGGCAATGTAATACAATAGTAGCTAAAGAACTAATAACTTTTGAGTTGGCATCTATGGCGTATTTTTCAATGGAAAATACACTCGTGCCTCTTCCAAGAGGCCATTGCTCATACGAACAAGTAAAGCCAGATCCGGTTTCCACCAGATTTTGTCCCCCTCAGATATTCTGAGGCAAAATGTCACAAACTTTTATCTTTCTCAGGTGGCTAAGCACTCTCGATTGCACCCACATACCCTGGAATGGGCTTGATAATGTATATTATGGCAACTGTTGTTGAAACTTCTTACTAACTCCTGGGGTCAAAAAAGTTCATGTTTGTTTTCTCACCTACGGAGAGCGTTTGCATGCCTCCATCGCACATCTACCTTGTACCCCGTCACTCAGAAACCAGCCACCAGGAAGTGTACAAGTCTGAAGCTTGAAACATCATGTAATTTTTCCCTCCCCTGATTGCAAACTCCATCTGAAGATCCAGTTAAAGAAAAACAATTCCTGTTCAGGAATGCATTGGTCAGACTATTATTCTACCATCGTATTATACATTGTTATTTACGGGATGATTGCACAGATCTGCTGCCGCGTTTGCCTATATAACATTCACTTAAATTTCTAATCAATTTATTTCATAAAGTACTTTGAAATATTTATTTTAAAATGAAAATCCCTATATTTTAAGTGATAGGTATTCTTACCACTATTATTACTATTAATGGTGATTTATTACACCAAGAACCCAAACCTTTAATTATAGTTTTTTTCTTTGGGTAGGATAGGAGAGAAGATACAGCTACAATTTAACGATTCGATAACAAAGTGTCATGATAAGTTTTCAATTTTAATTATACTCCCAATCAGCTCAATCAATCAAAAAAAAATTATGCTTAATATTGTTATTTTATCCCAGCCATCCCAATTCTTTCTTTTTTAACCTTTATCAATAATTTGCACTTATATACCACCTTTCGTGTAGAACATTTATAGATATGGAGTCAAAGCTTGAGAACGGTGGGAGGAGGTGGCTGAAGATGCAGTCAAAGAGATGGTTTCTAGATGGGTTTTGAAAGCAACAATAACAAATTACATTTGTATGGTGCCTTTCACATCAAGAGGACTTCCCAAGGCGCTGAGAAGGAAGGAGCAGGGTGACGGCTTTTCAAACTCCAAATAGCAGGGGCAAAAGTGGCTGAAACCTCACTGATGGTGTGCTGGAAAACATGAACCAGGTCTTTGTCGATAGCATGGATAATTTTAATTTTTTTTACTAAAGGTTAGTAAATCTAGGGTACACGTTGACTTTTCACCTAGATTTCTGCAATCCTCGTGATGGCAAATATGATCCAATGTAAACAGCCTTGCCTTTTGCAAATTTACAACTCTTATGGTGAATAGTGAATAAGTACACTTGGCTCAGTAAAAATTCTCAGGTGAGTGGGGGAGAAGTGGGCAGATGGGAGTCAATGTATTTACTTATTCATAGCCTCTCATCTTTCTTGATTTAGATATGAAAAAAAATTGCATCAGGAGTTAACCTGGTCACATTTGTCATACATTCCGACGAACTTCTTTACTTATATTTTCCAGCCTTGGGATGTCCTCCCGATGTGAAAGGCGCTATACAAATGTAATTTGTTGTTGCTGCTGCTGTTCTCTTGGCTTCAAAAAGCTGTAAAGCCAGTTTTCAAGAAAATGCATTTTTAAGAAATTGCTTCTGTTTCAAAATTGGGCTGAAGACCCAAAGGGAAGTTGAGTGAAAGCTTTAACGTCAGAAATGAAAGTAAAAATTGACAACAAATTGCATAACCACAAAAAAAGTAAAATAAATAAGCATTCTGTTTTTCACCTAAGAATAATGCATAAAGGATCGTGTATCTATATTCTTGTTTAGTTTTCTTAAATAGAAATTATAACCTTTTTACATTTTGTTAAAATTAGCATTCTCTTAATATGTATTTTACTAATAGAAGTTTTCCAATATTTTTATTGTTAAACTGTTTAAATACTAGTCTTTTAAATAAATTTTTTGATGTAAAACAGTCTTTTCACTGTGCATTTGACATCAACAGAGTAAACAGAAAATGTTTGTAAATCTATGGGCAACCTAAAGGTTAACATCAATGTCTCTTTATTGTGTAATCTGCAAAATATAGTAAAGTTTGAAGCTGAACAGCAAACACCAATAACGGGATTTGCTAGAGCCAATATTCATGGTGTGTCATTATATTCCATTAACAACAACAACAAAAATTACATTTGTATAGCGCCTTTCACGTCAGGAGGACTGTAATCCAAAAATTCACAAATTATAAATGGCTGCCAGAAACAGTCTTCCAACTCCTTACTTAGAATGCTCTTTGTGTGTAAAGTTTAGTTACAATGAGGGAAAAGGGTGTAAGAGAAGAAAAATGTTCAGCCAGGGCTCCTATTGTCAGCTGCTACCCCACCATTAAAATATGTAGCCAAGGGAATTGTTGATGACAAGATTAGGTTGTTGAAACTTTCTGTTTGGAGTAATACGTGGTGCAGTTAACTTGTGCCAGCTATCCAAGGGAGGGACCATCAGTGGATTAGACTCAGCACAACTCAGTACTTTAAGAAAAGAACGGTAAAACAAAACACTGGAGAAACAAAAAAAAAGTTTCAGTTATATCCAACTTTGGAAGAAATTATATTGATGGGTCTCTGAACTTTTTTTCTTTTTCCAGTCTAAGTATCTGTATGTGGGCAGAGAACACAATATGATATAAAATTCTGAATTATTGACACCTCAGTTCTGCGTAGCAGAATTAACTGGTGGACTGCTTTCACTCTAGCACGTGAATTCCACCCAGACTAACAGAATTGAAGTATTCTTTCCGTTGGTTATATGGATCCTGTTTGAATTGGTTAGACTCAACCCAATGAATTGAATTGGTTAGACTCAACTCAAGACTTCTTGTAACGCAGCACAAACACAGGAAACCTAAGGTGCCTCAAAACTAACTCAGGTATGGAGCAGATACATCACCCCGGGGATTATCAAGGTACTATTCAGACATTGGATTAAGGCTCATTGCTCAGCCAGGGTAAAAGAAGCTTCAGAGTGCATCATAACTTTCCTGGGAGTACATGGTTGACAAAGGGCAATCAATCACAATGGAAATATAGTCACCAGTGACATATTTTGCCTTCATCCACCACCAAAGTATTTATTTCAATAAAATTGCTGATATTTCTATTCCAGTATGCAGAAAATAAAGGATAAACTCACACCAGAAGAGCTGCTCACTGACAAATTAATCAATCAATCTGTGGGTCAAAGCCAAGATGATGGTTTCACAGCAGCACCCAATGGAAAGTAAAAGTTTCTCCAAACAGACACAGAATTCACCCTGCATACTACACAAAATGCACTGAATATGAAAGTATAGAATGGTGGAGAAACAAAATCATACTGAAAGTGCTACCGCACAGTAATGTTTCCCTTTAAGGCTGTACATGATCAGCATATAAAACAGCACCATACCCAACTCAATGCATCACCATGTCTAATTTTCTGTATAGCATTACTCATCTGTCATCATAACTCACTCTTCTGGTGCAAATAAAGGGGCTACTATCCTCAAAAGGTTACCAGTGGCCACTTTAGAAGAAGACAAATCTACAGAGAAGAGATTGCACAAAGATGGGTGGGTGATGTGGTAATGGTTTAGCAACAATGGAGAAATGAATGATGTCACAAGGCACCGTGTTTCACTGTTTAGCTGTTATACCCGTGATATAGAAATGGAGTAGAAAAATCTAGAATTATGTATCAGTGGTAGATATCAAATCAAATGCAAGGATTATATTGCTGCTCCTTATCAAGACCAATTATTTCAGAAAGTGTACAATGATGGGGAGGAGCATTTAATGTGCTGTTCCTAGGAGCAAACAACAGGCAACTGCTTCATAAAAACAGGCTATTTGACCTGTCAAGCCTGCTTCACCATTACGTCGATAGCAATTCTTCAATTCCATATCCTTCATCTCACTCTCATTTACAAGGAGAGTTTTACTAAATCAGATTTTTCAGTGAGCTAGGAAATGGGTAGTATCATAAGCCAAACACAAATTCAAAATAAAAGTCTTGTCAGCCAATCTCTACAAGTGATGGTTTCTTTCAAAAAGTGAGGAGGTCCAAAACCCAAGAAGATGAATTTTTAAACCCCTTCCTCCCCTTTAGGCCAGACATGCACTACTGCCCCTTTAAAAAAATAAAGGCAACAACAAAATTACATTTGTATAGCGCCTTTCACGTCGGAAGCACAAGGAGCTGGACAATCAGAGTTTCGGACCTGAGCTGGGGGTCGGGATCGGGGAAGGTGGAGGTCGGGGGTGGGGGGGGGGGGAGGAGGGTGATTGAAAGCACTGTCGATGAGGAAGTTCTTGAGATGGGTCTTGAAGGAGGCAAGCGAGGGGGCAAGGCGGAGTGACTCCAGGATGGAGTTCCAGAGGGTGGGGGCAGAGTGGCAGAAGGCCCACACGCCAATAGTGAGGCGAGCGAGGCAGTGGACGTAAAGCAGGCCAGAGCCCGCTGAGTGGAGGGAGCGAGCAGGATAGCACAGGGTTAGGAGGTCGCAGAGGTAGGAAGGCAGAGCGGGCCATGGCACAGATGTGGGGTAGAAATGTAAGCAAGACCATGGAGGGCTTTGAAGGTGAGGACCAGGATCTTGAACTGTATCCTCTGTATGATGGGAAGCCAGTGGAATCGGGCGAGGATGGGGGTGATCGGGTCACGGAGCATAGTGCAGGAGAGGACACAGGCTGCAGAGTTCTGGATGATCTGCAGCCTACAGAGGGAGGAGTTGGGGAAGCCGACAAGCAAGGAGTTTGCGTAGTCAAGTCTCGATGTAATGAAAGTGTGTATGAGGTTTTTGGTGGCCTGTGGCATGAGACAGTAGCAGAGCCGGGCAATGTTACGGAGGTGGAGGAAGGCAGAGCGGGCCATGGCACAGATGTGGGGTAGAAATGTTAGTTGAGGTTCAAACAAGACACCAAGGTTCCAGAATGGCTTAGTAAGGTGCAGTGTACCTCCACGGACGGTGATGCTGTCAGCGCCTGAATGTTGAGGCGCTGACGGGAGCCAATCAAGAGAGGCTCGGTCTTGTTGTTATTCAACTGAAGAGAATTAGCACTCATCCAGGACTCCATGTCTGAAAGATATTCTGTCAGGACAGCAGTGGTCCCGGAGTCAAGGGAGGAGGCAGAGAGGTACAGTTGGGTGTCATCTGCATACCTGTGGAATTTGACCCCATGTCTGCAGATGATGTTACTAAGAGGGAGCATATAGATATTGAAGAGGAGGGAACCAAGGACAGAGCTCTGAGGAACTCCGCTTGAGATGGTGCGGGGACTAGAGGAGAAACCATTTCTGGAGATGAAGTGGAGACGGCATGAGAGGTACGATCTGAACCAGTCAAGGACAGAGGGAGGTGAGAGGAAAGGCGGTGGATGAGGATAGAGTGATCGATGGTGTCGCAGGCAGCAGAGAGGTCAAAGAGGACGAGGAGGCAGAGAGAGCCCTGGTCGCAAATGGACAGAATGTCA